ACAGAACCCGTCTGTCTCTCTGCTCATTGGTTCCTCAGTAACAGAACCCGTCTGTCTCTCTGCTCATTGGTTCCTCACTAATAGAACCCGTCTGTCTCTCTGCTCATTGGTTCCTCAGTAACAGAACCCGTCTGTCTCTCTGCTCATTGGTTCCTCACTAACAGAACCCGTCTGTCTCTCTGCTCGTGGGTTCCTCACTAACAGAACCCGTCTGTCTCTCTGCTCATTGGTTCCTCACTAACAGAACCCGTCTGTCTCTCTGCTCATTGGTTCCTCACTTACAGAACCCGTCTGTCTCTCTGCTCATTGGTTCCTCACTAACAGAACCCGTCTGTCTCTCTGCTCATTGGTTCCTCACTAACAGAACCCGTCTGTCTCTCTGCAGCAGTGCGACACACCGGCGTGCGCTGTGTGTGTGCGTGTCGGCGGTGCTGCTGTCTGTCTTCTTCTCGTATCGAACCTTTTGCCCTTTGACCTACGGCAGCCCTGAGCTCTCGGCCAATCAGCTGCAAGGACTGAAGTGGAGAGGCTCCTGGGACATCCTGTACCGCCGCCGCTGAACTTCCTGTTTTTGAACTGTCCGTGATGTCAGCAGTGATGTCAGAGGTGATGTCATGTTGGAGGCGGAGCTTCAGCCTCAATAAAGTGAAACAGGATCAAATGTCTGATTGATGTGTGACATCATTTCCTGTTGTAGAAGACTACAAAATAAAACACTGCTTTTATTTTGACACTGAGTTTGGTGTGTTGTGTTCACTGACTTTATGGATTTATGCTTCCTTTGTCAGATTTGATGGATATTTCATATTAAACTGAACAACAAACAGTGAACTGTGATCATTTCCTGTTTATTGAACATCTTATATAAATATTATACATATTTTATATTTATATTCTCATTATTCTGTATTACTTTATTCACTGTTCTCCAGAACCAGAAGCTGATTCAGGCCGACTGCGTGTATTTATTACGTTTTCTTAAACCCTTTTAAAATCAAGAAGAATATTTCAGTTTAAGTTAAATAAAAAAGCATTTGTAAGATTTGTAAATAAAACAATGTGATGATTTCTAATTGCCCCTCTTCTATTCAGTTGTTTACTGATGAGCCACAATAATGCTCGTCAGTTCAAATGTCTTCATTTTGGGTTTTTATGAGCAAATATTAATAAATGTGATGGATTATGATTAAATCAATAAAGAACATATTATTATTATTATTATTATTATTATTATTATTCAATCAGCAGCAGGAAGCTAATGTTGTCTCATAGCGGACAATGTGTGATTGAAAAGGTTCCGGACGGAACTGAACAGCGGGCAGACCGGAAGTGAGTCGAGGGGAAGCTGATAAAGTGCGGATGATTTGAGCTGCGGTTTGCTTGCGGTGTTTGCGGTGTTTGCGGTGTTTGTGCGGTTGCTGGTTAATGAACGGACACACAGACAGAAACAGTCTCAGCTGAAGACTTTGAACCGGAACTAAGAGAACAATGGCACAGCGCGGGAAGAGTGGTCCCGCCGCACAGCCTGCTGGGTAATATGTTAACGACAGAGTGACGTTGATTGGAGCTCTGCGGCGCGAGGACGCTGAAACTGAAGATCAATCAATAAATCAATCAATAAATCAATCAATAAATCCAACGGTGATCGGACGGAAGCTGCACGAGGTCAGAAACACTAACTGCTAACGGTAGCATCACACAGCTAACTGCTAACGGTAGCTTAAAGGAACAGTAACAGACAGTCTGTTACTGACTGTTACTGTAGTATTACTGACTGTTACTGTAGTATTACTGACTGTTACTGTCTGTTACTGTAGTATTACTGTCTGTTACTGTAGTATTACTGTCTGTTACTGTAGTATTACTGTCTGTTACTGTAGTGTTACTGACTGTTACTGTAGTATTACTGACTGTTACTGTAGTATTACTGACTGTTACTGTAGTATTACTGACTGTTACTGTCTGTTACTGTAGTATTACTGTCTGTTACTGTAGTATTACTGTCTGTTACTGTAGTGTTACTGACTGTTACTGTAGTATTACTGACTGTTACTGTCTATTACTGTAGTATTACTGACTGTTACTGTAGTGTTACTGACTGTTACTGTAGTGTTACTGACTGTTACTGTAGTATTACTGACTGTTACTGTCTGTTACTGTCTGTTACTGTAGTATTACTGTCTGTTACTGTCTGTTACTGTAGTGTTACTGACTGTTACTGACTGTTACTGTAGTATTACTGACTGTTACTGTCTGTTACTGTAGTATTACTGTCTGTTACTGTAGTATTACTGTCTGTTACTGTCTGTTACTGTAGTATTACTGACTGTTACTGTCTGTTACTGTAGTGTTACTGACTGTTACTGTCAGTTACTGTAGTGTTACTGACTGTTACTGTAGTATTACTGTCTGTTACTGTAGTATTACTGACTGTTACTGTCTGTTACTGTCTGTTACTGTAGTATTACTGACTGTTACTGTCTGTTACTGTAGTATTACTGACTGTTACTGTCTGTTACTGTAGTGTTACTGACTGTTACTGTAGTATTACTGACTGTTACTGTCTGTTACTGTAGTATTACTGTCTGTTACTGTAGTATTACTGTCTGTTACTGTCTGTTACTGTAGTATTACTGACTGTTACTGTCTGTTACTGTAGTGTTACTGACTGTTACTGTAGTATTACTGTCTGTTACTGTAGTATTACTGACTGTTACTGTAGTATTACTGACTGTTACTGACTGTTACTGTAGTGTTACTGACTGTTACCGTAGTATTACTGACTGTTACTGTAGTATTACTGACTGTTACTGTCTGTTACTGTAGTGTTACTGACTGTTACCGTAGTATTACTGACTGTTACTGTAGTGTTACTGACTGTTACTGTAGTATTACTGACTGTTACTGTCTGTTACTGTAGTGTTACTGACTGTTACCGTAGTATTACTGACTGTTACCGTAGTTACCGTAGTATTACTGACTGTTACTGTCTGTTACTGTAGTGTTACTGTCTGTTACTGTCTGTTACTGTAGTGTTACTGACTGTTACTGACTGTTACTGTAGTGTTACTGTCTGTTACTGTAGTATTACTGACTGTTACTGACTGTTACTGTAGTGTTACTGTCTGTTACTGTAGTGTTACTGACTGTTACTGTAGTATTACTGACTGTTACTGTCTGTTACTGTAGTATTACTGTCTGTTACTGTAGTATTACTGTCTGTTACTGTAGTGTAACTGACTGTTACTGACTGTTACTGTAGTATTACTGACTGTTACTGTCTGTTACTGTAGTATTACTGTCTGTTACTGTAGTATTACTGACTGTTACTGTAGTATTACTGACTGTTACTGTCTGTTACTGTAGTATTACTGACTGTTACTGTCTGTTACTGTAGTGTTACTGACTGTTACTGTAGTGTTACTGTCTGTTACCGTAGTATTACTGTCTGTTACTGTAGTATTACTGACTGTTACTGTAGTATTACTGACTGTTACTGTAGTGTTACTGACTGTTACCGTAGTATTACTGACTGTTACCGTAGTATTTCTGACTGTTACTGTCTGTTACTGTAGTGTTACTGACTGTTACCGTAGTATTACTGACTGTTACTGTAGTATTTCTGACTGTTACTGTAGTGTTACTGACTGTTACTGTCTGTTACTGTGGTGTTACTGACTGTTACTGTCTGTTACTGTAGTGTTACTGACTGTTACCGTAGTATTACTGTCTGTTACTGTAGTATTACTGACTGTTACTTTCTGTTACTGTAGTATTACTGACTGTTACTGACTGTTACCGTAGTATTACTGACTGTTACTGTCTGTTACCGTAGTATTACTGTCTGTTACTGTAGTATTACTGACTGTTACTGTAGTATTACTGACTGTTACTGTCTATTACTGTAGTATTACTGACTGTTACTGTCTGTTACTGACTGTTACTGTAGTGTTACTGACTGTTACTGTAGTATTACTGACTGTTACTGTCTGTTACTGTCTGTTACTGTAGTGTTACTGTCTGTTACTGTCTGTTACTGTAGTATTACTGACTGTTACTGACTGTTACTGTAGTATTACTGACTGTTACTGTCTGTTACTGTAGTATTACTGTCTGTTACTGTAGTATTACTGTCTGTTACTGTCTGTTACTGTAGTATTACTGACTGTTACTGTCTGTTACTGTAGTGTTACTGACTGTTACTGTCAGTTACTGTAGTGTTACTGACTGTTACTGTAGTATTACTGACTGTTACTGTAGTATTACTGACTGTTACTGTCTGTTACTGTAGTATTACTGTCTGTTACTGTAGTATTACTGTCTGTTACTGTCTGTTACTGTAGTATTACTGACTGTTACTGTCTGTTACTGTAGTGTTACTGACTGTTACTGTAGTATTACTGACTGTTACTGTCTGTTACTGTAGTATTACTGTCTGTTACTGTAGTATTACTGTCTGTTACTGTCTGTTACTGTAGTATTACTGACTGTTACTGTCTGTTACTGTAGTGTTACTGACTGTTACTGTAGTATTACTGTCTGTTACTGTAGTATTACTGACTGTTACTGTAGTATTACTGACTGTTACTGACTGTTACTGTAGTGTTACTGACTGTTACCGTAGTATTACTGACTGTTACTGTAGTATTACTGACTGTTACTGTCTGTTACTGTAGTGTTACTGACTGTTACCGTAGTATTACTGACTGTTACTGTAGTGTTACTGACTGTTACTGTAGTATTACTGACTGTTACTGTCTGTTACTGTAGTGTTACTGACTGTTACCGTAGTATTACTGACTGTTACCGTAGTTACCGTAGTATTACTGACTGTTACTGTCTGTTACTGTAGTGTTACTGTCTGTTACTGTCTGTTACTGTAGTGTTACTGACTGTTACTGACTGTTACTGTAGTGTTACTGTCTGTAACTGTAGTATTACTGACTGTTACTGACTGTTACTGTAGTGTTACTGTCTGTTACTGTAGTGTTACTGACTGTTACTGTAGTATTACTGACTGTTACTGTCTGTTACTGTAGTATTACTGTCTGTTACTGTAGTATTACTGTCTGTTACTGTAGTGTAACTGACTGTTACTGACTGTTACTGTAGTATTACTGACTGTTACTGTCTGTTACTGTAGTATTACTGTCTGTTACTGTAGTATTACTGACTGTTACTGTAGTATTACTGACTGTTACTGTCTGTTACTGTAGTATTACTGACTGTTACTGTCTGTTACTGTAGTGTTACTGACTGTTACTGTAGTGTTACTGTCTGTTACCGTAGTATTACTGTCTGTTACTGTAGTATTACTGACTGTTACTGTAGTATTACTGACTGTTACTGTAGTGTTACTGACTGTTACCGTAGTATTACTGACTGTTACTGTAGTATTTCTGACTGTTACTGTCTGTTACTGTAGTGTTACTGACTGTTACCGTAGTATTACTGACTGTTACTGTAGTATTACTGACTGTTACTGTAGTGTTACTGACTGTTACTGTCTGTTACTGTGGTGTTACTGACTGTTACTGTCTGTTACTGTAGTGTTACTGACTGTTACCGTAGTATTACTGTCTGTTACTGTAGTATTACTGACTGTTACTTTCTGTTACTGTAGTATTACTGACTGTTACTGACTGTTACCGTAGTATTACTGACTGTTACTGTCTGTTACCGTAGTATTACTGTCTGTTACTGTAGTATTACTGTCTGTTACTGTAGTATTACTGACTGTTACTGTCTGTTACTGTGGTGTTACTGACTGTTACTGTCTGTTACTGTAGTGTTACTGACTGTTACCGTAGTATTACTGTCTGTTACTGTAGTATTACTGACTGTTACTTTCTGTTACTGTAGTATTACTGACTGTTACCGTAGTATTACTGACTGTTACTGTAGTGTTACTGTAGTATTACTGACTGTTACTGTCTGTTACTGTAGTGTTACTGACTGTTACCGTAGTATTACTGACTGTTACTGTCTGTTACTGTGGTGTTACTGACTGTTACTGTCTGTTACTGTAGTATTACTGACTGTTACTGTAGTATTACTGACTGTTACTGACTGTTACTGTAGTGTTACTGACTGTTACCGTAGTATTACTGACTGTTACTGTCTATTACTGTAGTATTACTGACTGTTACTGTCTGTTACTGTAGTGTTACTGACTGTTACTGTAGTATTACTGTCTGTTACTGTAGTGTTACTGACTGTTACTGTAGTGTTACTGACTGTTACTCTCTATTACTGTAGTATTACTGACTGTTACTGTCTGTTACTGACTGTTACTGTCTTGTACTGTAGTATTACTGACTGTTACTGACTGTTACTGTAGTGTTACTGTCTGTTACTGTAGTATTACTGACTGTTACTGACTGTTACTGTAGTGTTACTGACTGTTACTGTCTGTTACTGTAGTATTACTGACTGTTACTGACTGTTACTGTAGTGTTACTGACTGTTACTGTAGTATTACTGACTGTTACTCTCTATTACTGTAGTATTACTGACTGTTACTGTAGTATTACTGACTGTTACTGTCTGTTACTGACTGTTACTGTCTGTTACTGTAGTATTACTGACTGTTACTGACTGTTACTGTAGTGTTACTGACTGTTACTGTCTGTTACTGTAGTGTTACTGACTGTTACTGTCTGTTACTGTAGTATTACTGACTGTTACTGACTGTTACTGTAGTATTACTGACTGTTACTGACTGTTACTGTAGTGTTACTGACTGTTACTGTAGTATTACTGACTGTTACTGTCTATTACTGTAGTATTACTGACTGTTACTGTAGTGTTACTGACTGTTACTGTAGTGTTACTGACTGTTACTGTCTGTTACTGTAGTGTTACTGACTGTTACTGTAGTGTTACTGACTGTTACTGTAGTGTTACTGACTGTTACTGTAGTATTACTGACTGTTACTGTCTATTACTGTAGTATTACTGACTGTTACTGTCTGTTACTGACTGTTACTGTAGTATTACTGAGTGTTACTGTCTGTTACTGTAGTGTTACTGACTGTTACTGTAGTGTTACTGACTGTTACTGTAGTATTACTGACTGTTACTGTCTGTTACTGTAGTATTACTGTCTGTTACTGTAGTATTACTGACTGTTACTGTCTGTTACTGTCTATTACTGTAGTATTACTGACTGTTACTGTAGTGTTACTGTAGTGTTACTGACTGTTACTGTCTGTTACTGTAGTGTTACTGTCAGTTACTGTAGTATTACTAACTGTTACTGTCTGTTACTGTAGTGTTACTGACTGTTACTGTAGTATTACTGACTGTTAATGTCTATTACTGTAGTATTACTGACTGTTACTGTAGTGTTACTGTCAGTTACTGTAGTATTACTGACTGTTACTGTAGTGTTACTGACTGTTACTGTCTGTTACTGTAGTGTTACTGACTGTTACTGTAGTATTACTGACTGTTACTGTCTGTTACTGACTGTTACTGTAGTGTTACTGTCTGTTACTGTAGTATTACTGACTGTTACTGTAGTGTTACTGTAGTGTTACTGTCAGTTACTGTAGTATTACTGTCAGTTACTGTAGTATTACTGACTGTTACTGACTGTTACTGTCTATTACTGTAGTGTTACTGACTGTTACTGTCTGTTACTGACTGTTACTGTAGTATTACTGTCAGTTACTGTAGTATTACTGTCTGTTACTGTAGTGTTACTGTCTGTAACTGTCTATTACTGTAGTGTTACTGACTGTTACTGTCTGTTACTGACTGTTACTGTAGTATTACTGTCAGTTACTGTAGTATTACTGTCAGTTACTGTAGTATTACTGTCTATTACTGTAGTATTACTGACTGTTACTGTAGTATTACTGACTGTTACTGTAGTGTTACTGTCTGTTACTGTCTATTACTGTAGTGTTACTGACTGTTACTGTCTGTTACTGACTGTTACTGTAGTATTACTGTCAGTTACTGTAGTATTACTGTCTGTTACTGTCAGTTACTGTAGTATTACTGTCTATTACTGTAGTATTACTGTCTGTTACTGTAGTGTTACTGTCTGTAACTGTCTATTACTGTAGTGTTACTGACTGTTACTGTCTGTTACTGACTGTTACTGTAGTATTACTGTCAGTTACTGTAGTATTACTGTCAGTTACTGTAGTATTACTGTCAGTTACTGTAGTATTACTGACTGTTACTGTAGTATTACTGACTGTTACTGTAGTGTTACTGTCTGTTACTGTCTATTACTGTAGTGTTACTGACTGTTACTGTCTGTTACTGACTGTTACTGTAGTATTACTGTCAGTTACTGTAGTATTACTGTCTGTTACTGTCAGTTACTGTAGTATTACTGTCTATTACTGTAGTATTACTGTCTGTTACTGTAGTGTTACTGTCTATTACTGTAGTATTACTGTCAGTTACTGTAGTATTACTGTCTATTACTGTAGTATTACTGACTGTTACTGTAGTGTTACTGTCTATTACTGTAGTATTACTGACTGTTACTGTAGTGTTACTGTCTATTACTGTAGTATTACTGACTGTTACTGTAGTATTACTGTCTATTACTGTAGTATTACTGACTGTTACTGTCAGTATTTATACTTTAAATTCTTTATTGACAGAATTGTAACATAACACTGCAGAACAGTTGAGGGAGTATTGAAAAAATAAAAACACATTTATAATTATTTATTTATTCATTATTATCACAGCTGATCACTATATATCAGTAAATACTGACAGTGTCTGTCTGTCTGTCTGTCTGTCTGTCTGTGTGTGTGTGTGTGTGTGTGCGCGTGTGCGCGCTCAGACATGTCTGTCTCTCTGTCCACAGAGAGAGACAGGATCCAGCGACAGGTGGAGGAGCTGGAACAGAGTCTGTCTGTAACACAGGCTGAAATGGAGCTGCTGAGCAGTGAGACAGGTACCTGTCTGTGTTTATGTATGTATGTCAGTCCACCTGTCTCTCTCTCTAACAATGGTCCTGTGTGTCTTTGGGCAGATGATGACGACACAGAGGAGGAGGCAGGACAGGTAACACACACACACACACACACACACAGTTACCACGGCAACATGTATAAATAAACTCCAGGTTTACTGTAAGGACAACAACTACTGTTAGTGGAACAAACAACAACTACTGTTAGTGGAACACACAACAACAACTACTGTTAGTGGAACAAACAACAACAACTACTGTTAGTGGAACAAACAACAACAACTACTGTTAGTGGAACACACAACAACAACTACTGTTAGTGGAACAAACAACAACAACTACTGTTAGTGGAACAAACAACAACTACTGTTAGTGGAACACACAACAACAACTACTGTTAGTGGAACACACAACAACAACTACTGTTAGTGGAACAAACAACAACTACTGTTAGTGGAACAAACAACAACTACTGTTAGTGGAACAAACAACAACTACTGTTAGTGGAACAAACAACAACTACTGTTAGTGGAACACACAACAACAACTGTTAGTGGAACACACAACAACAACTACTGTTAGTGGAACACACAACAACAACTACTGTTAGTGAAACAAACAACAACTACTGTTAGTGGAACAAACAACTACTGTTAGTGGAACAAACAACAACAACTACTGTTAGTGGAACACACAACAACAACTACTGTTAGTGCAACACACAACAACAACTACTGTTAGTGGAATAAACAACAACAACTACTGTTAGTGGAACAAACAACAACAACTACTGTTAGTGGAACAAACAACAACTGTTAGTGGAACAAACAACAACAACTGTTAGTGGAACAAACAACAACTACTGTTAGTGCAACACACAACAACAACTACTGTTAGTAGAACAAACAACTACTGTTAGTGGAACAAACAACAACAACTACTGTTAGTGGAACAAACAACAACAACTGCTGTTAGTGGAACAAACAACTACTGTTAGTAGAACAAACAACTACTGTTAGTGGAACAAACAACAAAAACTACTGTTAGTGGAACAAACAACAAAAACTACTGTTAGTGGAACACACAACTACTACTGTTAGTGGAACAAACAACAACTACTGTTAGTGGATGAACTCTGATTTAATATTCATATATATTTATGTTTTAGTAATAATTTGTCTGTGTGTGTCTGTCTGTCTCTGTGTGTGTGTGTGTGTGTGTGTGTGTGTGTGTGTGTGTGTGTGTGTGTGTGTGTGTGTGTGTGTTTGTGTGTGTGTTTGTGTGTGTGTGTGTGTTCAGTCTGCAGCAGTTCTGTTGGCTGAGAGAGAGAAGATCCAGAAGGAGATCCAGAACCTGGAGAATGTCCTTGGACCACACAGTCCTGTCTATGTGTCAGGTACCTGTCTGTCTGTCTGTCTGTCTGTCTGTCTGTCTGTCTGTGTCTTCAGTTGAACATGAACTGATATTGATGTCTGTTGTTCAGATGATGACAGTAGCAGCGGCAGCAGTGATGAGGTCAGTAATAACATCAACCCTCCAACATCTCGACATCAGCGACAGACAGTCAGTACTGATCTTACCCTGTCTGTCTGTCTGTCTGTCTGTCCGTCCAGAGTGAGCTGGGTCTGTCTCTGTCAGTGGACTCGTGTCTTCAGATGAACCTCGTCTACCAGCAAGTCATTGAGGAGACTCTGGACCAACTGGAGACACTACTGACTCACAACCACAGACAGCAGGTCAGTACTGTCACACAACCACAGACAGCAGGTCAGCACTGTCACACAACCACAAACAGCAGGTCAGTACTGACACACAACCACAGACAGCAGGTCAGTACTGTCACACAACCACAAACAGCAGGTCAGTACTGACACACAACCACAGACAGCAGGTCAGCACTGTCACACAACCACAGACAGCAGGTCAGCACTGACACACAACCACAGACAGCAGGTCAGCACTGTCACACAACCACAGACAGCAGGTCAGCACTAATGAATAATAATAATAATAATAATAATAATAATAATGAATATTTTCTAGGACTGGGTATTGTTAAGAACTTCACAATTCGGTTCGATTTCGATATTGATTTAAATGCTTCGATATCGATTCAGTAATAAGTAGAATTAAACAAATTATTCATTGATTCGTTGATTATTTTAAAAGCTTCGGGACGGCGACTGCCGTCATGTGTTTGTGTGTTGGTATGGCGTATTGTGGTTCCAGTGTGTATACCATCTTCTGAAAACCCCCGTTTTCCACAACACTGTACGGTCGTAGGTCCGTACATATGAAGATGGCCACAGCCTCCGTTATCTTCTGTGTGCGGGCAGAGTTTGGTGGCAGTTTGCAAAGGAAGGATCTGTGGAGTTGCGTCTGTTTTGAATCCACAGGTTTAGCCGCGGGTTGCTGCAAAACACGTTGTTGTTGTTGTTGTTGTTGTTGTGTGGTCGAGTGTGGCCTCCGTCCGTACAATGCAAATCATACAAAGGTGTTGCTCACCGTGCCCCCACTGGCCAGGGGCTTGAATCGATTCAGAGGATTTAATGAATCGATATTGAATTGGGAAAAAATATATTGTAATGCATTGATGAATCAATATTTTTACCCACCCTTAATATTTTCTCTCTGTAGAAGGAGGTGGTGACCCAGCTGTCTGGACCAATCAAAGAGCCCTCCCGGGAACAGCGCCCGCCCTCCTCCTACCAGCAGCCAATCAACATGTTCCTGGGACGCTTCCTCAAACCGTACTTCAAGGACAAACTGACAGGACTGGTAAGACAGACAGACAGACAGACAGACAGTCTCAGATAGACAGACAGACAGACAGTCTCAGATAGACAGACAGACAGACAGAGAGTCTCAGATAGACAGACAGTCTCACTGCTGACCAATGAGACGCTGTGTTTGTGTCTCCAGGGTCCTCCAGCCAATCAGGAGACGAAGGAGAAGGCCCGATGGATGACGGGTTGTCTGGACGACAAGAAAGTGAAAATAAAACGATGTGAGAATCAAATTTAAACTGATCACCAACTTTTATTGATCAAATCCTCTTACTGATTTAGTGTGTGTGTGTGTGTGTGTGTGTGTGTGTGTGTTCAGGGGAGAGCTGGCAGAAAACTTTATTGATCCACTCAGTAGCCAAAGACGCTCTGAGGAGACTCATCCAACCCAAACTGTCCAGGTAATGTGTCTGCACCTGGAATAGCAACTGAGAATGAGCTGTCAATCATAAGGTAGCCCCGCCCTAAAGCATACCCTGTCTGTCTGTCTCTGTCTCACTGTATCTGTCTGTCTGTCTCTGTCTCACTGTATCTGTCTGTCTGTCTCTGTCTCACTGTATCCGTCTCACTGTATCTGCCTGTCTGTATCCGTCTCACTGTATCTGCCTGTCTGTATCTGTCTGTCTGTATCTGTCTCACTGTATCTGTCTGTCTGTCTCTGTCTCACTGTATCTGTCTGTCTGTCTCTGTCTCACTGTATCCGTCTCACTGTATCTGCCTGTCTGTATCCGTCTCACTGTATCTGTCTGTCTGTCTCTGTCTGTCTGTATCTGTCTCACTGTATCTGTCTGTCTGTCTCTGTCTCACTGTATCTGTCTGTCTGTATCTGTCTCACTGTATCTGTCTCACTGTATCTGCCTGTCTGTATCCGTCTCATTGTATCTGTCTGTCTGTATCTGTCTCACTGTATCTGTCTCACTGTATCTGTCTGTCTTTCAGGTTGGACTACCTGAGTCAGAAGCTGTTGTCAGCAGGGGAGACAGACAGGCAGCAGCTCAGACAGCAGATAGACAGTGTGGAGAGAGAGATCGACCTGCTCAGGTACGTCTGTCTGTCTGACTGTCAGGGTTCAGAATGTGAGACAGTGGCGGTCCTCTCACTGCACTTCCTGTCCCTTCTGTACTTCATAATAAAAGTCAACTTCCTCCAGTGAGATGCTTTTAATGTGAAATGTGTGTTTAATGTGAGTCTGTCTCTGATTGGTCAGAGGGAAGAAGGAGGAGGAGCTGATTGGTGATCGATATGATGAACATGATTGGCAGAAAATCTCTAACGTTGATGTAAGTGTATCACGTGATCACATGATCCTGACTGTAACATCACTGTCACTAAATCTCCTCCTCTCCTCTCCTCCTCTCTCTTCCTCTCCTCTCCTCCTCCTCCTCTCTCCTCCTCACCTCTCCTCCTCCTCCTCTCTCCTCCTCACCTCTCCTCCTCCTCTATCCTCCTCCTCCCCTCTCCTCCTCCTCTATCCTCCTCCCCTCTCCTCCTCACCTCTCCTCCTCCTCCTCTATCCTCCTCCTCCTCTATCCTCCCCTCACCTCTCCTCCTCCTCCCCTCTCCTCCTCACCTCTCCTCCTCCTCCCCTCTCCTCCTCCCCTCTGCTCCTCCTCTCCTCTTTCTCTATCCTCCTCCTCTCTCCTCCTCACCTCTCCTCCTCTCGTACTCCCTCCCCTCTCCTCCTCTCCTCCTCCTCTATCCTCCTCCCTTCTCCTCCTCTCCTCCTCCTCCTCTATCCTCCTCCCTTCTCCCTCCCTCTCCTCCTCCCATCTCCTCCTCCTCTATCCTCCTCCCTTCTCCTCCTCATCTCTCCTCCTCCCCTCTCCTCCTCCTCTCCTCCTCCTCCCCTCTCCTCCTCTCTCCTCCTCCTCTATCCTCCTCCCCTCTCTCCTCCTCTCCTCTCCTCCTCTATCCTCCTCCCCTCTCCTCCTCACCTCTCCTCTCCTACTCCTCCCCTCTCCTCCTTCTTTATCCTCCTCCCCTCTCCTCCTTCTTTATCCTCCTCCCCTCTCCTCCTCTCTCCTCCTCAGTTTGAGGGGACGAGGGAGGCGGAGGACATCCGTTGTTTCTGGCAGAACTTCCTGCACCCGTCCATCAATAAGAGTCGATGGAGTCAGGAGGAGGTGCAGCAGCTGAAGGAGATCAGCAGGAGACACGGAGAGAGACACTGGGAGACCATCGCTGCTGAGCTGGGGGTGAGGAGGAGGAGTCTGTCTCCTGTCTGTCTGTAACCTGTCTGTCTGTAACCTGTCTGTCAGACGGGGAGGACAGCCTTCCTGTCTCTCTGTAACCTGTCTGTCAGACAGGGAGGACAGCCTTCCTGTCTGTCTGTAACCTGTCTCTCTGTAACCTGTCTATCAGACGGGGAGGACAGCCTTCCTGTCTGTCTGTAACCTGTCTGTCTGTAACCTGTCTATCAGACGGGGAGGACAGCCTTCCTGTCTCTCTGTAACCTGTCTCTCTGTAACCTGTCAGACAGGGGGAGGACAGCCTTCCTGTCTGTCTGTAACCTGTCTCTCTGTAACCTGTCTATCAGACGGGGAGGACAGCCTTCCTGTCTGTCTGTAACCTGTCTCTCTGTAACCTGTCTATCAGACGGGGAGGACAGCCTTCCTGTCTGTCTGTAACCTGTCTCTCTGTAACCTGTCTGTCAGACGGGGAGGACAGCCTTCCTGTCTGTCTGTAACCTGTCTCTCTGTAACCTGTCTGTCTGTAACCTGTCTGTCAGACGGGGAGGACAGCCTTCCTGTCTGTCTGTAACCTGTCTGTCAGACGGGGAGGACAGCCTTCCTGTCTGTCTCTAAACTGTCTGTCTGTAACCTGTCTGTCAACCTTCCTTCTTCTGTAACCTGTCTGTCTGTAACCTGTCTGTCAGACGGGGAGGACAGCCTTCCTGTCTGTCTGTAACCTGTCTGTCTGTAACCTGTCTGTCAGACGGGGAGGACAGCCTTCCTGTCTCTCTGTAACCTGTCTGTCTGTAACCTGTCTGTCAGACGGGGAGGACAGCCTTCCTGTCTGTCTGTAACCTGTCTGTCTGTAACCTGTCTGTCAGACGGGGAGGACAGCCTTCCTGTCTGTCTGTAACCTGTCTGTCTGTAACCTGTCTGTCAGACGGGGAGGACAGCCTTCCTGTCTGTCTGTAACCTGTCTGTCTGTAACCTGTCTGTCAGACGGGGAGGACAGCCTTCCTGTCTGTCTGTAACCTGTCTGTCTGTAACCTGTCTGTCAGACGGGGAGGACAGCCTTCCTGTCTCTCTGTAACCTGTCTGTCTGTAACCTGTCTGTCAGACGGGGAGGACAGCCTTCCTGTCTCTCTGTAACCTGTCTGTCTGTAACCTGTCTGTCAGACGGGGAGGACAGCCTTCCTGTCTGTCTGTAACCTGTCTGTCTGTAACCTGTCTGTCAGACGGGGAGGACAGCCTTCCTGTCTCTCTGTAACCTGTCTGTCTGTAACCTGTCTGTCAGACGGGGAGGACAGCCTTCCTGTCTCTCTGTAACCTGTCTGTCTGTAACCTGTCTGTCTGTAACCTGTCTGTCTGTAACCTGTCTGTCAGACGGGGAGGACAGCCTTCCTGTGTCTGCAGACGTTCCAGCGCTTCGTCTCGGACTCGTTGAGAAACAACAGTTGGACTCCGGACGAAGACGTTCTGCTCAGAGAGCTCGTGGACAAGATGAGTATCGGAAACTTCATCCCCTACACGCAGAGTAATGACATCACTGTGACATCACTGTGACATCACACTGCGACTTATGTTGATGCAACACAACAGTTAACACCTTTCTGTCTGTCTACCTGTCTGTCTCTCTCAGTGAGTTACTTCATGGAGGGTCGTGACCCCGCTCAGCTGATCTACAGGTGGAACCAGGTCTTGGACCCGAGCCTGAAGAAAGGTCCGTGGACCCAACAGGAGGACCAGGTAGGGTGGGGGGCGGGGCTTAGACAGGACACACCCACCACCTGCACAATAATGACATCATGATCTGACAGTTAGAGTTGTTAGCATGACGTCTGCCTGTCTCCCTCTCAGCTGCTGCTGCAGGCTGTCTCTCGTCACGGGGAGAAGGACTGGTGGAAGATCCGGTCTGAGGTTCCTGGACGCACTGACAGCGGCTGCAGAGACAGGTAGGGGAGAGCTGATTGGACGACAGGAAGTGAGTGTTCACCTTGAGTCAGGTGTTAGCTGTGAGCTAGCTGATGTGTATCAGGTGATCGGTGTCTGTTAATGTGAATATTATTTATTATTATATTTAATGTTGCAGCTGGGTTGCTTCCCTCAGGGATCAATAAAGTGTTTATAGAATCATTAATGTGATCATTATTTCTGTATTAGCTGCAGATGGAGGACGGCTGCACAGATATGAACTCACAACAACACGATAAATGATCACCATCGCTAACTAGCTGTGTGCTAGTTAATGTTGGCTCATTTATTCACGCTGATAGAAATCCACGTCTTCGTTTTGATTTCTAATTAGTGAAGTTAGTTTATTAGTTACTGCTATATTACTGTAACAACAACAACAACATGATGCAGCCTGCAGGATGTGTTTGCTTGGTAACGTCAGCCGAGACAATTGTGGCCAAAAGTATGTCGACAGAGCTCTGTGTGTGTGTGTGTGTGTGTGTGTGTGTGTGTGTGTGTGTGTGTGTGTGTGTGTGTGTGTGTGTGTGTGTGTGTGTGTGTGTGTGTGCGTGCAGGTACTATGACAGTCTGAAGGCGGGAACAAAGAGAGGAGGGTTCGACAAACATGAGCGAGAGCTGCTGCTGCAGCTGGTGGAGAAACACGGAGTCGGTAGGTCAGCTGTAATTGATTAATGTCAGTGAGAAACTGATCAATATTAACTTGCTGATCACTTTATATCAATAAATACTGACGTGTGTGTGTGTGTGTGTGTGTGTGTGTGTGTAAGGTCGCTGGGCGAAGATTGCAGCAGAGATTCCTCATCGTAATGACGCTCAGTGTCTTCGTGAGTGGAGGAAACTGAGCAGACAAGCTCTACTTCCTGCTCAGGTACCCTCACCTGTCACAGGATTCTGTAGTAACACACAGCAGCCACAAGATAGCAGTTTTAGCAGCTACTGTCGATGTATTTTACCGAGGAGGAGGAGGAGGAGGAGGAGGAGGAGCAGCTTAGAATCAGAATCAGGTTATCACAAACAGGAATTTGCCTCGATTTATTGGTGCATAATAATAAACAGAAAAATATAAATAAAGATAAAATAGAGTCGATATGTACAAATAAAATAAAAAGAAACAATATGACGATTATTTAAATGAATGAAGAGCTGTACAGTTTGCAGGAATGTGCAACATACAATGTGCAACATACAATGCGTAACATACAATGTGCATAGGTCTGGTACCGGGTCTGATACCGGGTCCAATACCGGGTCCAATATCATCCACAGTCTTCATCATAGTGAACTAACTGATTCTCTTTCTGTGTCATTAGATAAGAAAGAAAACTAGAAAACCACCAACGAGTTGTGGAGGACTGAAGGAGGAGGAGAGGAAGAAGAAGAAGAAGAAAAAGAAGGAGGAGGAGAAGAAGCTGGTTGCCCCGGTCAAGAGAATCAGGACACTAAGAAAAGTGAAGGAGGAGGAGGTGGAGATGGGGGAGACCAGTGAGGAGGAGGAGTTTGTGATGGAGTTCATGGACTCTGATGGAGAGGAGAAGAAGAAAAGGAAAGGGGTAGTGGAAGCATTAAGGGTTGAGGAGAAGGAGGTGGAGAAGGAGGAGGAAGCAAAGGAGTACACCTTCCCTCCCATACAGGAGTGGATTCCAACAGAAAGAGCTCAGTGTTCTACCTTCCTGAGCTTTCGACCGGCGGAGTTGCCTTCCTCCGGAGACGCCCACAACGGGAAACCAGTCCGGACGACCATCCTGGGTGATTTCGGCCGCTCCGTGATCATTGGACCACCTCCCAAAGAGCTGCAGTTGGAGCGGCACCACAGCACCAGCACCATGATGATGGTGTCACCTGAACAGCTGCAAGCCCACCTGTACCACCTGGCGGACAAGTTCAACGGCTCCCAGGGGAAGGTCCAAACCAGCAGACTGAACCTCCTGGTGTCGGACAAAGGGCTGGAGTACAAGCTGCGGGCTGCGGTGACACCGTGGATCGGCAACCTGCTGATCCCGTCAAAAACCAGACTGACTGTTGCCGACGCCCTGAGAGAGCAAGGTCAGAAGACCCCGCTCTCCTCCACATCCGTCTTCCTGCTTCTCCTCCAGACCATGAATGTGGACTCTGTGGGCTGTAAGAAGATTATAGAGAAGAGGAAGAACAACGTGGCATTATTTACACCACCTTCACGCCGCTTCTCTGTCCAGAAAGTGATCCCAAACAGCGTTGCACATCTCCTGCAGCAGAAGGAGGCGAAGGAGGAACTAGACTTGCAGCACAAACTGATCCTGGCGCAGCTTCAGGAGGTGCAGCAACAGAAACGGCTCGAAAAGCAACAACTGCAGCTCAATCAGCAACTACAACCACAGCAACACCTTCAGCTTGAACAGCAACTGCGACTGCAGCAACTCATGCTGCTGCAGCAACCTTCTCTTCCTTGCCACCCGACAGTGCCTCCTCAGAATCGCCCCAGCTTTCTCCTTCAGATGCCCCCTCAGATGTCGTTTCCTCCTGCAGTCTTCTTTTCTCAACAGCAGCCTCACTCTGCCTCCATCCAGCTTGTGCCTCCCTCTTCCCTGACCCCCCCACCTCTCTGCAGACCTACGTTACCTGCACCTCCTGCTCCACATATACCAAATGTTTCTCCAATTTCTGTGGTCCCAGTGACCGTGAACGCCACATCTACCTACTCTACCTCTGACCGGAAACAAACTGGACCTCAAAACCTCACAGTTGCCGTTGCCCCTGCCCCTTCCCCTAACCAGCATATTTCTGTTGAATCCACCTCCAGCCAGCCTTGTCCTGTCCACAGTCCACCTTGCTCCACCCTGGATCCACTCAAAGGGAAGGGGCAAACGGTGGACCAACAGGCTGTTTGCAGCAGTCAGAATGGGGTGCATTTGAGCGGGGCAGGTGATGTTGTTATTGAGAAGGGAAAGAGGATCCGAAAGCTCAGTCTGAAGGCCAAAGCTCTGCAAGAAGCCAAGGTAACCTTGGGTCCGATTTTGGGGCTAATAAATTGCGTAGACAGTATCGGAAGAGTGTTGAATACTGGTCTCGGAACCACTCTAAATGAGTAGTAGATCACAGTGCTGCTCACAGCCTGAAAGGTTATCTTGTTGAGGTCCCTGGTCCAGAAAAGGCTGCCGGGCCATAAGATATGTGGTACTGGGGTACATGTAACCATGGCGACCGCAGAAATCACACTGAGGAAAAACGTGAAGTAGATAATTTTAAGAGTTCCCTGAATCAGTCAAAACCCTTTTAGTTCTTCACAGTTCAGCTGATAACTAACACTCTCTAAGCCTCGCCCCTTCTTGCTCTGTGCTCCAATAACAGTTGATCAAGCCTCCAGGAACACTTCATCGTGCTTTAGTCTATACATTTGTATTAAATCAGAGGACTTCACAGACGACCTCTTTGCTCTCTGGTTGCTCTTTAAACTTTGACGTCTGTCTCTTTGTTTCAGACTGAAGTCGAGAAGAAATCGGCTCCGTCTCCACGACAGAAATCTCAGCGGTCTCGTCTCCAGACCGCCGTCCCTGTTCCTCCTCAGCCAGTCTGCACTGCTCCCGTCCAGCCGATACCTCAGACTCCTCAGTGGACTCCTCCCCCTGCAGCTCCTCAAAGACCACCTCCTGCCACAGAAACTGAAGCTCCTTCACTGCAGGAAGCTCCTCCTCTCAGACTGGATGTCCGTCCTGTGTCTGTGAACGCCACACCAGCCTTCTCTGATAGCTTAACCCGGCCCTCCTCCATACCAACCAATCAGTGCACTGCACCCTCCAATTCAGGCTTACCTGCTATTTTTCGCAAAGAACATGACTACAGCTTTTTAAATCCTGCCCCTGCCCCCAATCAATCAAGCCCCGCCCCCAAACAGACAAAGCCCAGGTGGCGGAAATCTGGCCCCGCCCCCAAAAAGACTCCCAGGGCCCCAGCCAGAGGGAGGAAACGAGGGAGGGGGAGCAGTCAGGATGAGCAATATGTGGGCAGGGCAGATGGGACAGTGGGTGGGGCAGATGGGACAGTGGGTGGGGAAGGTGAGGCATCATTGGGTGAGGCAGGTGAGGCACCAGTGGGTGGGGCAGGTGAGGCACCAGTGGGTGGGGCAGGTGAGGCAGTGGGTGGGGCAGGTGAGGCATCAGTGGGCGGGGCAGTTACAGGTGTGATCCAGGAAGGAAAGAGGGTTCGGAAGCCGAGTCAGAGGGCAAGAGCTCTACAGGAAGCTGCTCAGGTCGTGGTAAGAGCTCACAGTTAGCATAGCCCTGATCCACCAAACTCCATTCAGAAAACAATAATTTTAAAAGTAGTTAGCTCGACAGACCGAGTATAAGACTTCTTACAAATCTCGTTATTTTAGCATCATATTGATCAGTTTATTGATCAAATGGACTTTTATTTACTCTTTTATTCTCTGAAAGACAATGTAAAATTATTGAAATGAACTTGTAAACTGAAGTTAATATTAATATAATTACTGTTATTGTTCTATCTACAGCAGTGACTTATGCACTGACTACTGCCCTGTATCTACAGCACTGACTTATGCACTGTATTAAATCACAGAAACTTCTGATTATTTTGGGCTCATACCGCCTCAGTGAGACACATTGAAGGGAGAATACTCACTTGAGGAACACAAGGCAAATATGTACTTAATGTTTGGTGGAAGACTCCTTCAGTCTGACTCCTCCTGTTTTTCTGTTCCCAGGTTGAAACCAAGAAGAAGAGAACTTCTTCTTCTTCTCCTCGTAAGAAGCGACCTTCTACGTCTCGCTCTAAACAGGAAGTTGTGGTCCAGAATCGGCCAGTGACCCCGGTACCCAGGTTCTTTTTGGGTCCCGGTCAATCCATGTGGGTCATGACTCCTGGGGGGCTGGTCCAGCTAGCAAAAGCCCCGCCCCAAGGCCTGCAGTTCCCATTAGTACCAAGTGCCCCCATTCCAGCTCTGCCCCGGAATAAATTAAACCCCCAGCCATCCCCTCTTGCACCCAAACCCACCGGCATGAATCAGCCCAGTCCTCTTAATGCTTCGCCCACTGGTCTCTCCAAGCCCCTCCCCCCAGGCTTCATCCTGCAACCAGTCCGAACCCCCGCCCCCCGCCTGCCCCAGCAGAAACTCCTCCTTCCATATAAGGGCGCGGTGAGAGTGGACCCTGCCGCGGCCCCTCCCCTCAGGAGAGAGGCGCTGCAGTTCGACCCCTCCCTGATGTTTGTGGAGTCTCCGGCGGCGGTGCGTGATTGGCTGAGTGGGCAGGGAGGAGTGGCAGTACCTGGAGAAGGCCCTGCTCTTCCCTACCTGCCACCGTTCGTCAGCAGTCTGAGCACGCTCAGTGCGCTACTGCTGGCCCAGAAGTCTCTGACCAAATCGTCCCTGCGGTTGTTGTGTCAAGGGTCCAAACCCCGACGCCCCCAAACCGGACCTGAAAGCCAGAGGACACCCAGTCCTTCTCCAGACCTCCCAGACTCTACGTCTGACCTGAGACCAGCTGCAGACCAACCAGGTAACACACCTGACAGGTACAGAGGCAATTAGTGACATCCTGTATGAGGCGTTAGCAGCGTCCGACTAGCCAGTAGCTACACTGTTAGCTGCAACTGTGACTTTATAATGACAACCTCCAGTTGGGCTTTATGGTCATCTCCATGTTGGTGTTTAGCAGCCAGTGGAGGTCATGTACAGCGAGTTGAGCTGCTCTGTGGAGCTATTGTAGTAAAACAACAGTCTGTGTGTGAGTAATCGGATCTGTAACTGTGTGGACAAACATTAAATGTTTCATCAGTTACAGCTCAGGCCGGACTCTCAATTGGCTCTTTTTACTCAAGACTCTTCTTTCACTTCTGCTGCTGCAGATCTGCAAATGTGTGTGGAGAGATTTGTCCACTGAGAGTCTAACCCGAGCTGTAACTGATGGGCTGTCTGTATTTCCAGCTCTCCCAGTACTGAAACTGCTGTCCACACAGATTGAGATACAGTTACACAACTTCACTCATATCTGGTCAGCACTGTTTCACAGTTTAATCTGAGTTTGGTGCGTTGAGCTGGACGGACTCACTGAGAATGAGCTGTCAATCAGAAGGTAGCCCCGCCCTAAAGCGTTGTTATTTTAACCTTCTGTTGTTAATGAATTATACAACAAAAAACACTGAAATCATCTCAACAAGCACCTCATTTTAAACTGCTGTGAAATCGTTTGTTTTGTCCTCCTGCAGCTCCTGCTGTCGGCTCAGACCTCCCACAGGAGGAGGCAGAGGAGGCGGAGCTTGTGGTGGCGGTACGTCAGCTGGTGGCGGAGCGTTTCTCAAGTAACCCCGCCTACCAGCTGCTGAAGGCCCGCTTCCTGTCCTGCTTCACTCTCCCCGCCCTCCTGGCCACCGTGCAGCCAATCACAGAGAAGACTGCGTCCCGCCCAGCCAATGAGGAGGAGGAGGAGGAGGATGAAGAGGAGGACGAGGAGGAGGTGGAACTGGAGAAAATCCGTGAAAAAGGAAAACAGAGGAGAGCCCAGGTGAGTGTTACTACAGATGTTTATCATTTTTATTGATTGATTATTAGTGTGATCAGTAATCAGCTTCATTCTAAATATGATCCAGAAATCTTTGCTGCTGTGTGACGGCTCAGGAGCTCCATCCAATCACTTCTCAGGAATCATCAACACACCCGCCGGACCAGACCAGACCGGACCAGTACAGCCCGGATCAGATCGGACCAGTAGCAACCAGACTGTCGGTGTCCAGTGAAAACCACAGTTGTGAAGTTTGTTGGTTGAGTTTAGAAACAGAACTGGAGATAAAAAGATTTGTGAGTTTGAAGAAGTTGATTATTTAAAATAAATGTTTTTCACTGGACACTAACAGACCAGATCAGACTGGATCAGACCAGATCAGACTGGATCAGACTGGATCAGACCAGATCAGACCAGGTTAAGTTGAGATCTCAGAATGTCGACAGGTGCGTTTAAAGACCCTCTGAAATTTGAGAATTTAACATATTCCGATAATCCAGAGCTGGTTCTAAAATGTCTGAGTGTTCTTGAATGCACCATCAGTGAGCGATCAATAGAATCAGTCGATAGAAGAGTTCAGTGTGCAGAGACTGCTGCAGCTCCGTGGTGCCTTCAGGAACATCAGGAGTTGTAAAGTGGTAAAATAAAGAGTATAAAATATATATTTTGTTATTTTTACTTTTTATTAAAGTTGTGTAAATAAATGATATTAAGTTATAATGTAATGATAGTGATTGGTCATGAGCTGGTACATTTGTAATAAAGAGAAGCAGGTGAAACTACTTCCTGGTTTGTCTTTATGAATGAATCTCGTGACTTTTTTCTTCTCTCCGTTCGGTTTCACTTCAGCTCATTGATTTCCAGGAATCTGTTTGCCAATCAGTGACATCACTTCCTGTTTCAGTCAGCTGCTGTTTCCTGTTGAATTTAGTCGGACTTCTCTAATCGATCTCGTCTTCCTCTTTCTGTCCATTCTGTCCAAACGCACAGACCGCAAACCAGACAAATAACTGACTGAAACTACTATTATTATTATTGTTATTGGTGTTGTTGTTGTTCTGCTGCCTGAAGATTTCAGCTCTATGCTGTTGGTTCTTTGTGTGACGTTCTCTTCCCACAGTTTCTCAGAATAACTTCATATATACAGTATAATAATACACTCCTGAAAAAAATCTTAAGACCAGGAGAAAAATTGTATGTAAGTAAGTATTTGCATTTTGAGTTGGTGGAACATAACAAGGTTGTAAGTAGAGCTTCAAAGTGCAAAAATAAGAAACAGGAGCAAGAGACAAAAAAAATAGAGTAGGCAATTTATTGAAATTGCATTTAAACTCATACAGGCTGTTCATCAGTTGATCAAAAGTTTAAGACCATAGCCTTAAAAAGTCCAAATCTGTGCAAAAATCGTGCTGTAATTTTCTATCAGGCATTCACACTGTCACGACCCCCTGATGGCAAAGGCAAAAAGGCTTTCTGTCTTTGAACGTGACAGGATTGTTGAGTTGCACAAGAAAGGCCTCTTGCAACGTGCCATAACTGCCGAGGTTGGACGCAGTGAGAGTCATTTTACATTTCTTAAAAGGTCCTGAGGGTTATGGGACAAAAAAGTCAAGTGCTAGACCCAAAAAAACATCACCTGCGCTGGAGGATCAAACGGGCTGTCCTTGAAGAGACAGACCGATCCTCGACCCAGATTAAGGCCCTTACTGAATCTGACTGTAGCCCAATTACCATCAGACAGCGTCTGCGACAGAAGGGCTTAAAGAACAAAAAACGTCTTCAAAGGCCACGTCTCCTCCCACACCACAAACCTGCCCGGTTGCACTTTGCAAGGGAGCACCAAACATGGGACATTGAAAGATGGAAGAAAGTTTTATTCTCTGATGAGAAAGAATTTAACCTGGATGGTCCTGATGGCTTCCAACGTTACTGGCATGACAAGGAGACCCCACTGGAGTTGTTTTCTACACAGCATGGTGGAGGAGGCTCCATCATGATCTGGGGTGCTTTTTCCTTCAATGGAACAATGGAGCTTCAGGTTGTGCAGGGACGTCCCTCTTGACTGAGGGCCCTCGTCTGTAGGTTTGATGATGGTCTTTCAACAGGACATCGCTGCAGTTCACAATGCCCGCCTAACGAAGGACTTCTTCCAGGAGAATAACATCGATCTTTTGGACCATCCTGCGTGTTCCCTTGATCTAAATCCCATTGAGAACGTTTGGGGATGGATGGCAAGGGAAGTTTACAAAAACGTCAGTTCCAGACCATGGATGCCCTTCGTGAAGTCATCTTCACCACATGGACCAACGTTCCCACCATCCTCCTGGACACACTCGCATCAAGCATGCATAAACAAATTTTGAAGTGATCAACAACAATGGTGTAATAATAAATAAATGTAAATTGCCTACTCTATTTTTTTGTCTCTTGCTCCTGTTTATTCTTTTTGCATTTTGAAGCTGTGCTTACAGCCTGGTTACATTCCACCAACGCAAAATATGAATACTTGCAAGTTTTCCCCCGGTATTAAGATTTTGTTCAGGACTGTATTATAATATATACTGTACATATATTATAATATATACTGTACATATATATACAGTATATATATTATATACACTGTACATATATTATAATATATATATACTGTATATATTATAACATATGTACTGTACATATATATACAGTATATATATTATATATGCTGTACATATAATATATAAACTGTGTGTATATATATATACATATTATAATATATATACTCAACATATATATACACATAACTCAGTATAACCTGATATAATAGTGGCAGTCGGGGGGGCGGAGACAGAAACAGGAAGTGAGAGAAAAAACTTCCTCAGAAAACACAGAAGCAGAAAAACAGACAGATCCTGTAGCTCAGTTTACTGAGAGGAGTCAGGGAGTAATACTGCAAACCGTCAGTACTTTACTGGGTACCGTCAGTACTTTACTGCGTACTGTTAGTACTTTACTGGGTACCGTTAGTACTTTACTGCGTACCGTCAGTACTTTACTGCGTACCGTCAGTACTTTACTGCGAACTGTTAATACTTTACTGCGTACCGTCAGTACTTTACTGCGTACCGTCAGTACTTTACTGCGTACCGTCAGTACTTTACTGCGAACTGTTAATACTTAACTGCGAACTGTTAGTACTTTACTGCGTACCGTCAGTACTTTACTGCGTACTGTTAGTACTTTACTGCGAACCGTTAATACTTTACTGCGTACCGTCAGTACTTTACTGCGTACCGTCAGTACTTTACTGGGTACCGTCAGTACTTTACTGCGTACCGTCAGTACTTTACTGCGTACCGTCAGTACTTTACTGCGTACTAGTACTCTCAGTGTGTACTCAGATGGACGCAGTGTGTGAGGACGACCTCTGCTGGCTGCAGCTGGATGATTTCAGGATGCTGCTGATCAAAACCATCGAACCTTCAAGAATCACTCCCTACCTCCGCCAGTGCCAGGTACTCCTCCTCCTCCTCCTCCTCCTCCTCCTCCTCCTCCTCTTCCTCCTCCTGGTTGCTTGCTCCTGATTGGTTAATTTGTGCCGTCAGGTGATCAGTGCTGAGGATGAGGAGCAGCTCTTCAATGACCCCAGCCTCGTCATCAGGAGGAGAAAAGTGGGTAAGTCGGTGCGGTCGACACCAGAGCCAGCTTAGCTTAGCTACAGTTAGCTAGCTGGATGCCCCTGCCTCGCATCACTCTTGGCTAGCAGAAAGCTATCGTTAGCTTTGTAGCGCTGCATCATTTATTGTTGACTGACATCAACAGTTTGTCAGAATACACAAGTTAGCATCATGGATCACGTTAGGCAGCTAACATATCCACTCAGATATATGTTAGATAATGATAGTGAGCAAACAAGCTAAGGTTAGCCAGCTGCAACCCAACCACGCTAAATAGACACTTAACCTTTGACCTTTCAGGAGCCCTGCTGGACATCCTGCAGAGGACAGGGGCCAAAGGTTACACAGCGTTCTTGGAGAGTCTGGAGCTGGATTATCCTCAATTGTACAGCCGGATCACTGGGAAGGAGCCCAACAAGACCTTCAGCATCCTCATCGGTCTGCTCACCTGTCTGACTGCTCACCTGTCTGTCTGTTTACCTGTTTCTTTACCTGTCTGACTGTTTACTACTTACCTGTCTATCTGCTCACCTGTCTGTCTGCCTACCTGTCTGTCAGACACAGCAGGTGAGTCCGGTCTGACTCAGTTCCTGATGTCGGAGCTGAGCCGCCTGCAGAGGGCGCTGCAGGCTGAGAGGAAGCGTCGTCAGGAGGCGTGTTCTGTTGCTAAGGAACAGGTAAGCAGGTGTTCTGTTGCTAAGGAACAGGTGAGCAGGTGACTGACTTCTGAGGGTTAAACGCTGTGTTCTGATTGGCCGTGGGGCCTCAGGAGGAGTGGTCTGAGCAGCAGCAGCTGAAGGAGCACGAGCTGAAGAAGATGAAGAAGCAGGTGCAGAAGGTGGTGAAGGAGCGCGAGCGTCTGAGCGAGGAGGTCAAACAGCTGCGAGATCACAACTACACCCTGATGGCTGACATCAACGCTCTGGGCCAGGAGAAGAGCAACGCTCTGCTGGCCAATCGAGACCTTCAGATAGAGGTCAGCTGACCCTGGCGCCCTCATTGAGCCCTACACACAACTTCAGGTGACCTCTGACCTCTGACCTCTGTGTGTGTGCAGGTGGAGCGTCTGAAGCACAGAGCTGAGAGTCAGACCCGACTGCTGAGGCGACGAACGCTGAGACCACTGCAGGAGGTAGAGACCACCTTAATGTACAGCCAATCACAGTGCAATACCTCTGCCTAAGCCCCGCCCCCTGCTCTGTGCTCCAATCACAGTTGAGCAAGACTCAGTCAACTTCCTCCTTTCCTGCACTTAGATTCAATTCAATTCAATTCAATTCAATTTTATTTGTATAGCGCCAATTCATAACAGAAGTTATCTCAGGACACTTTTCAAATAGAGCAGGTCTAGACCGAACTCTTTAACATTAATTACAGAGACCCAACAGTACCACCATGAGCAAGCACTTGGCGACAAGGGCAAGGAAAAACTGCCTGTTAAAAGGCAGAAACCTAGGACAGATCCTCCGGCTCTAGGTGGGTGGTCGTCTGTCTCGACCAGTTGGGGTGAGAGAGAGAGAGAGAGAGAGAGAGAGAGAGAGAGAGAGAGAGAGCGACAGACAGACAGACAGGTGCACAGCAACAACAGCTAATCTATGTTGGAAAGACAACCACGTTCTGAGGTAACACATTTATATAAGTTAGCTAATCAGCTGTCAGAGTCTGAAGCTAACGCTATCCAGCTAACAGCACAATCAGGCAATATGTTCCACTAGCTTAGCATTAATGTTAGCTTTGACTTTGGACTCTGTGTTGTGGACTCTGTGTTGGACTCTGTGTTTGACTCTGTGTTGGACTCTGTGTTGTGGACTCTGTGTTGGACTCTGTTGTGGGCTCTGTTGTGGACTCTGTGTTGGACTCTGTTGTGGACTCTGTTGTGGACTCTGTGTTGGACTCTGTGTTGTGGACTCTGTGTTGGAGTCTGTGATGGACTCTGTGTTGTTGGACTCTGTGATGGCCTCTGTGTTGTTGGACTCTGTCGGACTCTGTTGTGGACCCTGTGTTGTGGACTCTGTTGGACTCTGTGTTGTTGGACTCTGTGTTGTGGACTCTGTTGTGGACTCTGTGTTGGACTCTGTGTTGGACTCTGTGTTGTGGACTCTGTGTTTTGGACTCTGTGTTGGACTCTGTGTTGTGGACTCTGTGTTTTGGACTCTGTGTTGGACTCTGTGTTGTGGACTCTGTGTTGGACTCTGTTGTGGACTCTGTGTTGGAGTCTGTGATGGACTCTGTGTTGTTCAATTCAGTTCAGTTCAATTCAATTTATTTGTATAGCGCCAGTTCATAACAGAAGTTATCTCAGGACACTTTTCAAATAGAGCAGGTCTAGACCGAACTCTTTATAACATTATTTACAGAGACCCAACAGTACCACCATGAGCAAGACCTTGGAGACAAGGGCAAGGAAACACTGCCTGTTAAAAGGCAGAAACCTAGGACAGATCCTTCGGCTCTAGGTGGGTGGTCGTCTGTCTCGACCAGTTGGGGTGAGAGAGAGAGAGAGAGAGAGAGAGAGAGAGAGAGAGAGAGAGAGAGAGGCAGAGAGAGGCAGAGCGAGAGAGAGAGGCAGAGAGAGAGAGAGCGAGAGACAGACAGACAGGTGCACAGCAACAACAGTATTGGCAATGGCAATCTATCAGGACCATGGCAGGAGGCTCCACCAGGATCCATGAGAACCTGCGAGACGAGAAAGCACAAGAACTCCGGGGAAGAAGTGGAGTTAGTAACATGCATTAATGGGACATGAATGAGTGCAGAAAGAGAGAGGAAGAGAGGAGCTCAGTGCACCATGGGAAATCCCCTGATAGTCTAGGCCTATAGCAGCATAACTAAGGGATGGTTCAGGACTCACCTGATCCAGCCCTAACTATAAGCTTTATCAAAGAGGAATGTCTTAAGCCTACTCTTGAATGTGGTGAGGGTGTCTGCCTCCCGAACCACAACTGGAAGCTGGTTCCACAGGAGAGGAGCTTGGTAACTGAAGGCTCTGGCTCCTGTTCTACTTTTAGAGACTATAGGAACCACAAGTAGCCCAGCATTCAGAGAACGTAGTGTTCTAGAGGGGTAATAGGGTACTATGAGCTCTTTAAGATATGAAGGGGCCTGACCATGAAGAGCTTTATAGGTGAGGAGGAGGATTTTAAATTCTATTCTACATTTTACAGGGAGCCAGTGCAGAGAAGCTAGTACAGGAGAGATGTGATCTCTTTTTCTAGTTCCTGTCAGTACTCGTGCTGCAGCGTTCTGAATTAATTGGAGCGTTTTAATGGACTTATTGGGGCAACCTGATAATAAAGAGTTGCAGTAATCCAGCCTTGAAGTAACAAATGCATGGATTAGTTTTTCTGCATCTGTCTGTGATAGTATGTGTCTAATTTTTGTAATATTACGTAAATGAAAGACGGCAGTCCTAGAGGTCTGCTTTATGTGGGAGTTAAATGACAAATCCTGATCAAAGATAACTCCAAGATTCCTGACAGTGGTGCTAGAGGCCAAGTTCATGCCATCTAGAGTAACTATATCTTTAGACAGTGAGTCTCTAAGGTTTTTGGGGCCAAGAACAAGAATTTCGTTTTTTTCTGAGTTTAACATCAGAAAATTGCAGGTCATCCAGGATTTTATGTCCTTAAGACATGTTTGTAATTTAGATAATTGATTAATTTCATCGGGCTTGATTGATAGATATAACTGCGTATCATCTGCATAACAGTGAAAGTTAATGGAGTGATTCCTAATAATGTTGCCTAAAGGGAGCATATATAAAGTAAATAGTATTGGTCCAAGTACAGAACCTTGTGGAACTCCATGACTAACTGTAGTATTTATTGAAGATTCATCGTTAACATGTACAAACTGCGAGCGATCTGATAAATATGACTTAAACCAGCTTAGTGCAGTTCCTTTAATGCCAATTTGATGCTCAAGTCTCTGTAAAAGAATATTATGGCCAATGGTGTCAAATGCAGCCCTAAGATCTAATAATACAAGTACAGAGACAAGTCCATTGTCAGAAGCAGTCAGAAGGTCATTATTAACTTTAACCAGAGCTGTCTCTGTGCTGTGATGAACTCTAAATCCTGATTGAAAATCCTCAAATAAACTATTGTTATGTAGAAAGTCACACAACTCTTTGGCGACTACTTTCTCCAGAATCTTAGAGAGGAAGGGGAGGTTAGAAATCGGTCTATAGTTGGCTAAAACCCCTGGGTCAAGAGTGGACTTTTTGAGAAGGGGTTTAATTACAGCTACTTTAAAGGACTGTGGTACATATCCTGATAATAAAGAAAGATTAATCATATCCAGTAAAGAAGTGCCAATTAAGGGAACAACTTCTTTAAGCAGCCTAGTTGGGATCGGGTCTAACAGACAGGTTGATGGCTTCGATGAAGAAATGATTGAAGTTAACTGATGAAGATCGACAGCAGAAAAACAGTCTAAATATATATCTAAGTTTACATTGACAGAAGTCCCTGAACTTGGAGAGCCACTGATAACTGTTGATGGCAGTTGGTGATTAATTTTCTCTCTAATAGTAATAATGTTATTATAAAAGAAGCTCATGAAGTCATTGCTACTTAAGTTTATGGGGATATGTGGCTCGATAGAGCTGTGACTCTCTGTCAGCCTGGCTACAGTGCTGAAGAGGAACCTAGGGTTGTTCTTATTTTCTTCTATTAGTGCTGAGTAATAGGCTCCTCTGGCATTACGGAGGGCCTTTCTATAAGTTTTAAGATTATCTTGCCAAATTGAGCGATATTCTGATAATTTGGAAGAGCGCCATTTCCTTTCAGATTTCCTAGCTATTTGTTTTAACTGGCGGGTTTGGTGGTTATACCAAGGTGCTAGTCTCCTATGTTTTAATAATTTCCTTTTTATATGAGCGATAGAATCTAATGTTGATCGTAGTGAGCCTGCAGCACTATCGACAAGATTATCAATTTCAGAGGGATTAAAGTCGTTATAGGATTCTGTTAAATTCAGACATGACATTGAATTAAACACTGAAGGAATCTCCTCCTTAAATTTAGCTACAGCACTGTCAGATAGACATCTGCTGTAGGAAGTTTTGCCTAATGGCTTATAATCTAATAGTATGAATTCAAAAGTTATTAAATAATGGTCAGATAGGAAAGGATTATGTGAGAAGACTATTAAATGTTCAATATCAATGCCATATGATAGAACAAGGTCAAGAGTGTGATTAAAACAATGAGTTGGTTTATTTACACTCTGACAGAAGCCAATTGAGTCTATTAATGATATAAATCGGGAGCATAAAGGTCACAACCTTTGACCCTCATCCCTACATAGAGACACATAGAGATCAGTCCACAGACAGCAGAGGAACAAAGCTACACTACAACCTGTTCACTGTCTGCTGATCAATAATCTGATCAATAATCTGATCGTTATAGAAACAGGATGTATAATCTTTAAATATTAATATAATTGATCCTGAATGTCTCCAGAGCCGCAGTCTGGGTCTGCCCACAGAGACCTTCTTCCATCCCAACAGACTGGAGGAGCTGAAGGAGGAGAAAGAGGAGGAGAAAAAGGAGGAGACGCAGAAGGAGACGCAGCAGCAGGAGACACGAGCTCCTCTTCAGATGAACCTCCTCACTAAAGTGTTCGGACTGAGGAGAGACCTCCACAGAGCCGAGGAGCAGAGAGCTAAGGTGAGGAGGAGGAGGAGGAGGAGGAATTACTTTAACAGCACTGTGTGTGTGTGTGAGACAGGTACAACGTTCTCCTGTCTGTCTGCTCTCAGATTCTGGAGGAGAAGGAGGAGCTGGAGCTGCGGGTCACTCAACTGAAAGGAGACGTCAGAATTTACCATCAACGAAACAAACAAACCCTCAAACAGCTGGAGGAGGTGATCAGAGAGAGAGACAAGGTGAGGAGGAGGAGGAGATGATCAGAGAGAGAGAGAAGGTGAGGAGGAGGAGGAGGTGATCAGAGAGAGAGACAAGGTGAGGAGGAGGAGGAGGAGGTGATCAGAGAGAGAGAGAAGGTGAGGAGGAGGAGGAGGAGGTGATCAGAGAGAGAGACAAGGTGAGGAGGAGGAGGAGGAGGTGATCAGAGAGAGAGAGAAGGTGAGGAGGAGGAGGAGGAGGTGAGCAGAGAGAGAGACAAGGTGAGGAGGAGGAGGTGATCAGAGAGAGAGACAAGGTGAGGAGGAGGAGGAGGAGGAGGTGATCAGAGAGAGAGAGAAGGTGAGGAGGAGGAGGAGGTGATCAGAGAGAGAGACAAGGTGAGGAGGAGGAGGAGGTGATCAGAGAGAGAGAGAAGGTGAGGAGGAGGAGGTGATCAGAGAGAGAGAGAAGGTGAGGAGGAGGAGGAGGTGATCAGAGAGAGAGAGAAGGTGAGGAGGAGGAGAGGTGAGGAGGAGAGGGGAGGAGGAGAGGGGAGGAGGAGGAGAGGAGGAGAGGGGAGGAGGAGGAGATCATTTCTATTAAAAGTAAAAGTCTTATTGTCTCTGAAGATGAAGATGATGATGTTGATGATGATTTTGATGAAGATGATGATGTAATGATTTCTGAGCGCTGTGATTGGTGTTTCAGGCTCTGGCGTCGAGGGCGGAGCAGCAGGAAGAGGCGCGGCTGCTCCTGCAGGAGAAGGATCAGTACAGGGAGCAGGTGAGACAGCTGACTGCGCAGTACGACAGGCTGGACCTCCTCCTGCTCAGGTCCAAGGGGGAGGAGCTACAGCTGAGGACACGCCTCCGCAGACTCACCTGCAACACCCACCAGGTGAGGAGGTGACGAGTGAGGAAGAGGAGGTGGTGATGATGTAATGATGATGTAATGACGAAGGCTTTCTTCCTCAGTGTGAGAGGAGTGTGAGCAGTGAGGAGGAGGAGGAGCCCACAGAGAGCGCGGCTAAAGGTAGGGCTCATGTGACCTACCTGTCAGGTACATGTGCAGTGATGTCATTAAATGATGTCATGTGACCTGATACCATGTGACTGATCAGGCAGCAGTGAGGAGGTGCCCAATGGGACGTCGGGGGAGAACGAGGAGGCGGCAGTGTCTGGGGAGAACGAGGAGGTGACGACGCTGAAGGTGCACAGCGCTTCTCCTCAGGGAGTGTCTGACCTGAAGCCCAGCACTGCTGCATTATGGGTAATTTACCTGCCTGTAACAACATGTTCAGTGAGATCTTCCTGTTAGCTTAGCTTAGCATAAAGACTGGAAACAGAGGGAAACAGCTAGCATGGCCCTGTTCAAAGGGAAAGCTCACTGATGAACCCTGTCTGTCTGTCTGTCTGTCTGTCTGTCTGCATGTCTGTCTGTCTGCATGTCTTTCTGCATGTCTGTCTGTCTGTCTGTCTGCATGTCTGTCTGTCTGTCTGTCCTTCTGCATGTCTGTCTGACTGTCTGTCTGTCTGTCTGTCTGCCTGTCTTTCTGCATGTCTGTCTGTCTGTCTGTCTGCATGTCTGTCTGTCTGCCTGTCTGTCTGCCTGTCTGTCTGTCTGCATGTCTTTCTGCATGTCTGTCTGTCTGTCTGTCTGCCTGTCTTTCTGCCTGTCTGTCTGTCTGCATGTCTTTCTGCATGTCTGTCTCTCTGTCTGTCTGCCTGTCTTTCTGCATGTCTGTCTGTCTGTCTGCATGTCTGTCTGTCTGCCTGTCTTTCTGCATGTCTGTCTGCCTGTCTGTCTGTCTGTCTGTCTGTCTGTCTGTCTGCATGTCTTTCTGCATGTCTGTCTGTCTGTCTGTCTGCATGTCTGTCTGTCTGCCTGTCTGCATGTCTTTCTGCATGTCTGTCTGTCTGCCTGTCTGCCTGTCTTTCTGCATGTCTGTCTGTCTGTCTGTCTGTCTGCATGTCTTTCTGCATGTCTGTCTGTCTGTCTGCCTGTCTTTCTGCATGTCTGTCTGTCTGTCTGTCTGCATGTCTGTCTGTCTGCCTGTCTTTCTGCATGTCTGTCTGCCTGTCTGCATGTCTGTCTGTCTGTCTGTCCTTCTGTCTGTCCTTCTGCATGTCTGTCTGTCTGTCCTTCTGCATGTCTGTCCTTCTGTCTGTCTGTCTGTCTGTCTGCATGTCTTTCTGCATGTCTGTCTGTCTGTCTGTCCTTCTGCATGTCTGTCTGTCTGTCTGTCTGTCTGCATGTCTTTCTGCATGTCTGTCTGTCTGTCTGTCTGCATGTCTGTCTGTCTGTCTGTCCTTCTGCATGTCTGTCTGTCTGTCTGCCTGTCTTTCTGCATGTCTGTCTGTCTGTCTGTCTGCATGTCTGTCTGTCTGCCTGTCTGCCTGTCTGCCTGTCTTTCTGCATGTCTGTCTGTCTGTCCTTCTGTCTGTCCTTCTGCATGTCTGTCTGTCTGTCCTTCTGTCTGTCTGTCTGTCTGTCTGACTGTCTGTCTGTCTGCCTGTCTTTCTGCATGTCTGTCTGTCTGCCTGTCTTTCTGCATGTCTGTCTGTCTGTCTGCCTGTCTGCATGTCTGTCTGTCTGTCTTTCTGCATGTCTGTCTGCCTGTCTGCATGTCTGTCTGTCTGTCTGTCCTTCTGTCTGTCCTTCTGCATGTCTGTCTGTCTGTCTGTCTGTCTGACTGTCTGTCTGTCTGCAGGAGGAGAAGACAGACGGCTTTCTGACCACTATAAACCGACCGAACTTCTTTTACCGCAGGTCAGCTGATTCCGTAAAACCTTTGTATTGATTATTGATTGTAATTGATTGTTATTGATTGTTATCGGACTGAGCTCACTTTCTTATTGTTTCCATGGCGACAGGAAGCGAGCGGTCAGGACGAAGCACTGCGGCAGGGAGTACGCAGCCAGTAACCATGACGACAGCAGTGGAAGTTACATCACCGACTCCGACTGATGAAGACTGTTTTTACCTGATGATCTCTTCCTCGTTATCGTAGTCATTGATCATGTGATGGGTTGATCAGGTTACAGAGTAAAACTCTTTTATTGATTTAATAAGTAAAATATTGTATAAATTATATAATATATATTATATGACATCATTTGTTTTATTAACGAGGCGAGCAACGAGGAATGAAACGTGTTCAAGAGAGCGCCATGAAACAGGAAGTTGTTGGAACCTTACTCCGATTCTCCAGTCGGACTCAAACTCTACATGTTTGATAGATGTGCCCCCTCGTAGCGCCCCCTACTGGCACTAACCTGGTGTTACTACCATTTGATTTACATTAATTATTTACAGTCTATATTATTATTATTGATCAGAGTGTACATCAACAGCCTGGTCCTGCATCAGAAACTGATCAGCTGATAGATCAATAATCAGTGAGTCTGTCAGAAAGAAGAATATTAAGTCTGATTGTTAAAATGATAAAAATACAGAATACAGACAGAGAATGGATCAATATATCAGGAAAACATTCACAGGAAATAATCAAACTTCCTGCAGTGATTGAGTTCACTGTTTGTGTTCATTGATCAGTTGATCAGCTGTTATTGATAGTGATCAATATGAAATATACAGTCAGTTTATTGATCATAATTCAGATTTATGTTACTAATTTTCTTCAGTATGTAGTTTAAAGTTTGTTTATGGAAGCACAGATTGTTGTTGTTGTTGTTGTTGTTGTTCATGCGTCTGTTGAATTAAATTAAACTTTAATGCATCATCATCTATTTCCCTTTTTTATTATTACACATAAATATTAAATAAAGATTATTCTGAGCAGCAAAATAAAGTTGTTGTGGGGGGGTCCCGACCCTCCGGTTGGGGACTAAAGGGACATTTCACCTCAAAGGCAGCAAGACTTTAAATACGTTCTACAGAAGCTGGTTGAGTTCAGGATGTCCGATTTACTCTCAGACCGTGAACGTCACGGCGTCATTAGCGCCGGTTGCCATGGTGACGCAGAGACACTCACAGCGGCGGGAGACGGAAGTACCGACAGTTTAACGGACTTTATTAACCGACAGAGTAAAAACCGACGACCACAGTGAACCGGTCTCCCTCCCGGACTACAGACCCGTCTACAGACCCGGACCGGGAACGGCAGGATGAGAGCGGTTCCCAGCGGGAAGGTGTACCGGCAGCTGTCCGACGCTCAGGTGGGTTCACTCCGATCACCAATCAATCAATTATTACTGTTCTGTGGGAGACATTAATATTATTATTAATAACTCACATTAAGGGATCTGATTGGTCCTTAACATTACTTTAATAACTGTAATGTAATTAATATATCACTTATTATTATGGCTAATAATTACTTCTCACAATTTGGTATCACTGCCCTCCAGGAAAAACTTTGGTCTAAAAAGCTGTTTCAAACTGTTTCAAACTGTTTCAAACTGTTTCAAACTGTTTCAAACTGTTACAAAATGTTTCAAACTGTTACAAACTGTTTCAAACTGTTTCAAACTGTTTCAAACTGTTTCAAACTGTTTCAAACTGTTTCAAACTGTTGCAAACTGTTTCAAACTGTTTCAAACTGTTGCAAACTGTTTCAAACTGTTTCAAACTGTTTCAAACTGTTACAAGCTGTTTCAAACTGTTGCAAACTGTTGCAAACTGTTTCAAACTGTTGCAAACTGTTTCAAACTGTTTCAAACTGTTTCAAGCTGTTTCAAGCTGTTTCAAACTGTTACAAACTGTTTCAAACTGTTTCAAACTGTTACAAACTGTTTCAAACTGTTGCAAACTGTTTCAAACTGTTTCAAACTGTTACAAAATGTTTCAAACTGTTACAAACTGTTTCAAACTGTTTCAAACTGTTTCAAACTGTTACAAAATGTTTCAAACTGTTACAAAATGTTTCAAACTGTTTCAAACTGTTACAAAATGTTTCAAACTGTTACAAAATGTTTCAAACTGTTGCAAACTGTTTTAAACTGTTACAAAATGTTTCAAACTGTTACAAGCTGTTTCAAACTGTTACAAACTGTTTCAAGCTGTTTCAAACTGTTACAAACTGTTTCAAACTGTTTCAAACTGTTACAAACTGTTTCAAACTGTTGCAAACTGTTTCAAACTGTTTCAAACTGTTTCAAACTGTTTCAAACTGTTTCAAACTGTTTCAAACTGTTACAAGCTGTTTCAAACTGTTACAAAATGTTTCAAACTGTTTCAAACTGCTGATCTGATTGACTGTTGATCCAAGGACGCACAGACTGATCTCTGATCAGTGTTGAGTTGTTTTAATGTGTTTGTGTTCTGAAGGTTCAGCTGTCAAGATCTCTGCTGGCTGGACGGAGAGACAGGAGGACAGACTGTCTGTCTGCGGAGGACAGTAACACACACTGCAGTGCAACCAGCAGGTAGAGTGTCTCTCACTCTGTCTCTCTGTCCCTCACTCTGTCTGTCTGTCTCTCACTCTGTCCCTCACTCTGTCTGTCTGTCTCTCACTCTGTCTCTCTGTCTCTCACTCTGTTGGTCTCTCACTCTGTCTCTCATTGTATCTGTCTGTCTCTCACTGTGTCTGTCTGTCCAGCAGGGGGCAGCAGTTTGATGCTGATGATGATGATGATGATGATGACCATGATGAAGTCAGCAGACTTCCTGACACTGTTGGTTCGTATCTCTGAGCTCAGATCAGCTGATGATGCGTTCACTTGCTCCTTGTTTCTGTGGACAGACTGAATATTGACCATTAAAGGAACCAATCAAACAGGAACCCTCTCTTTTTCAGTGGTCGATCGTCCGAGCTCCGATATCATTGAACGACTGATGAAGAAAAAAAGAAAAAAACATGAGGAAGCTCTAAAACTGATGGACACCGAGCTCACAGAGCTCGCTCAGGTACAGTACGCATTATAATATAATACACATTGTTTACTACAATATAATACACACTGTATACTATAATACACATTGTTTACTACAATATAATACACACTGTATATTATAATATAATACACATTGTTTACTACTATATAATACACACTGTATACTATAAGACACATTGTTTACTACAATATAATACACACTGCATACTATAATATAATACACATTGTTTACTACAATATAATACACACTGTATACTATAATATAATACACACTGTATACTACAATATAATACACACTGTATATTATAATATAATACACATTGTTTACTACAATATAATACACACTGTATATTATAATATAATACACATTGTTTACTACAATATAATACACACTGTATACTATAAGACACATTGTTTACTACAATATAATACACACTGCATACTATAATATAATACACATTGTTTACTACAATATAATACACACTGTATATTATAATATAGTACACATTGTTTACTACAATATAATACACACTGTATATTATAATATAATACACATTGTTTACTACTATATAATACACACTGTATACTATAATATAATACACACTGTATACTACAATATAATACACACTGTATACTATAATATAATACACACTGTATACTATAATATAATACACACTGTATACTACAATATAATACACACTGTATACTATAATATAATACACACTGTATACTACAATATAATACACACTGTATATTATAATATAATACACATTGTTTACTACAATATAATACACACTGTATATTATAATATAATACACATTGTTTACTACAATATAATACACACTGTATACTACAATATAATACACACTGTATATTATAATATAATACACATTGTTTACTACAATATAATACACACTGTATACCATAATATAATTCAATTTCAATTCAATTCAATTTTAGTTGTATAGCGCCAATTCATAACAGAAGTTATCTCAGGACACTTTTCAAATAGAGCAGGTCTAGACCGAACTCTTTAACATTATTTACAGAGACCCAACAGTACCACCATGAGCAAGACCTTGGAGACAAGGGCAAGGAAAAACTGCCTGTTAAAAGGCAGAAACCTAGGACAGATCCTCCTCCTGTCTCGACCAGTTGGGGTGAGAGAGACAGAGAGAGAGAGAGAGAGAGAAAGAGAGAGAGAGAGAGAGACAGACAGACAGACAGGTGTACAGCAACAACAGTATTGGCAATGGCAATCTAGCAGGACCATGGCAGGAGGCTCCACCAGGATCGATAAGAACCTGCGAGACGATATGGTAGTGGTTCGACCTTTAGCCCTGAATCGACTGATGTTAAAGAGTTGCCCGTCTGTTCTGCACAAAATCTTGACTCCCTGGGGTTGATGTTTACCTGTGAGATGGAGGATAGCAGCAATGAAGAAGGGTCCTGTTTCATCTCCACTGCCACTGAGGACTGTAGCTGACATGTTGTCATGCAGCAGTCTCAGTACCCGTATGTATTTTTCTGGGCAGCCAATCTTTGCCAGAACCAGCCAGAGGGCATGACAGTTCACTGAGTCAAAGGCTTTGCTGAGGTCTATGAAGGCCATGTATAGTGGTAGATTTTGTTCCCGGCATTTTTCTTGAAGTTGGCGAGCAATGAATATCATGTCTGTGGTGCCTCTGTTTTGGGGAAAACCACTCTGAGACTCTGGAAGGATGCTTTCTGACAGAGGGGTCAGTCTGTTGGCAAAAACCCGAGCCAGGGCTTTCCCTGTGGTGGACAGGAGAGAGATGCCATGGTAGTTCCTGCAGTCTGCCTGTCTCCTTTCTTAAAGATGGAGACAACCTTCTATCATATGGCATTGATATTGAACATTTAATAGTCTTCTCACATAATCCTTTCCTATCTGACCATTATTTAATAACTTTTGAATTCATACTATTAGATTATAAGCCATTATGCAAAACTTCCTACAGCAGATGTCTATCTGACAGTGCTGTAGCTAAATTTAAGGAGGAGATTCCTTCAGTGTTTAATTCAATGCCATGTCTGAATTTAACAGAATCCTATAACGACTTTAGTCCCTCTGAAATTGATAATCTTGTCGATAGTGCTGCAGGCTCACTACGATCAACATTAGACTCTATCGCTCCTATAAAAAGGAAATTATTAAAAAATAGGAGACTAGCACCTTGGTATAACCACCAAACCCGCCAGTTAAAACAAATAGCTAGGAAATCTGAAAGGAAATGGCGTTCTTGGTTCCTCTTGTCAGCCAGGCTGACAGATAGTCACAACTCTATTGAGCCACATATCCCCATAACCTTAAGTAGCAATGACTTCATGAGCTTCTTTTATAATAACATTATTACTATTAGAGAGAAAATTAATCACCAACTGCCATCAACAGTTATCAGTGGCTCTCCAAGTTCAGGGACTTCTGTCAATGTAAACTTAGATATATATTTAGACTGTTTCTCTGCTATCGATCTTCATCAGTTAACTTCAATCATTTCTTCATCGAAGCCATCAACCTGTCTATTAGACCCGATCCCAACTAGGCTGCTTAAAGAAGTTGTTCCCTTAATTGGCACTTCTTTACTGGATATGATTAATCTCTCTTTATTATCAGGATATGTACCACAGTCCTTTAAAGTAGCTGTAATTAAACCCCTTCTTAAAAAAGCCCACTCTTGACCCAGGGGTTTTAGCCAACTATAGACCGATTTCTAACCTCCCCTTCCTCTCTAAGATTCTGGAGAAAGTAGTCGCCAAAGAGTTGTGTGACTTTCTACATAACAATAGTTTGTTTGAGGATTTTCAGTCAGGATTTAGAGTTCATCATAGCACAGAGACAGCTCTGGTTAAAGTTAATAATGACCTTCTGACTGCTTCTGACAATGGACTTGTCTCTGTACTTGTATTATTAGATCTTAGTGCTGCATTTGACACCATTGACCATGATATTCTTTTACAGAGACTTGAGCATCAAATTGGCATTAAAGGAACTGCCCTAACCTGGTTTAAGTCATACTTATCAGATCGTTCTCAGTTTGTACATGTTAACGATGAATCCTGCATAAATACTAAAGTTAGTCATGGAGTTCCACAAGGTTCTGTACTTGGACCAATACTATTTACTTTATATATGCTCCCTTTAGGCAACATTATTAGGAATCACTCCATTAACTTTCACTGTTATGCAGATGATACGCAGTTATATCTATCAATCAAACCCAATGAAATTAATCAATTATCTAAATTACAAACATGTCTTAAGGACATAAAATCCTGGATGACCTGCAATTTTCTGATGTTAAACTCAGAAAAAAACGAAATTCTTGTTCTTGGCCCCAAAAACCTTAGAGACTCATTGTCTAAAGATATAGTCACTCTAGATGGCATTAACTTGGCCTCTAGCACCACTGTCAGGAATCTTGGAGTTATCTTTGATCAGGATTTGTCATTTAACTCCCACATAAAGCAGACCTCTAGGACTGCCTTCTTTCATTACGTAATATTAGAAAAATTAGACACATACTATCACAGACAGATGCAGAAAAACTAATCCATGCATTTGTTACTTCAAGGCTGGATTACTGCAACTCTTTATTATCAGGTTGCCCCAATAAGTCCATTAAAACGCTCCAATTAATTCAGAACGCTGCAGCACGAGTACTGACAGGAACTAGAAAAAGAGATCACATCTCTCCTGTACTAGCTTCTCTGCATTGGCTCCCTGTAAAATGTAGAATTGAATTTAAAATCCTCCTCCTCACCTATAAAGCTCTTCATGGTCAGGCCCCTTCATATCTTAAAGAGCTCATAGTACCCTATTACCCCTCTAGAACACTACGTTCTCTGAATGCTGGGCTACTTGTGGTTCCTATAGTCTCTAAAAGTAGAACAGGAGCCAGAGCCTTCAGTTACCAAGCTCCTCTCCTGTGGAACCAGCTTCCAGTTGTGGTTCGGGAGGCAGACACCCTCACCACATTCAAGAGTAGGCTTAAGACATTCCTCTTTGATAAAGCTTATAGTTAGGGCAGGATCAGGTGAGTCCTGAACCATCCCTTAGTTATGCTGCTATAGGCCTAGACTATCGGGGGATTTCCCATGGTGCACTGAGCTACTCTCTTCCTCTCTCTTTCTGCACTCATTCATGTCCCTTTAATGCATGTTACTAACTCCACTTCTTCCCCGGAGTTCTTGTGCTTTCTCGTCTCGCAGGTTCTCATGGATCCTGGTGGAGCCTCCTGCCATGGTCCTGCTTGACTGCCATTGCCAATACTGTTGTTGCTGTGCACCTGTCTGTCTGTCTGTCGCTCTCTCTCTCTCTCTCTCTCTCTCTCTCTCTCTCTCTCTCACCCCAACTGGTCGAGACAGACGACCACCCACCTAGAGCCGGAGGATCTGTCCTAGGTTTCTGCCTTTTAACAGGCAGTTTTTCCTTGCCCCTTGTCGAAAGAATCCTCTGGTATCTCCAGAGTCAGCAAGCTGCTGGATCTCCAGAGCCTTCTTTGTCCATCCCTGGTTCTTCAGATTCCTAATGTTCAATTGGATAGCTTCCTTCGCTTGAGCTGCTCTTTTAACCTTGCAGTTCATGTTATTTTGCCAGGTGATAAAAGTTTGCCGCTTGATGGCTAGGAGCTGTTGAGTGTCGGTGTCGTTTTCATCATACCAGTCTTGATGTTTCCGCTTTTTGTGACCAAGGATGCTTTTGCTGCAGTTAATGATGGTAGAAGAGAGCCTGCCCCAGTGTTTTTCAGCATCAGTTAGGATGGATGCTGCTTGGGCAGGTCTGCACTGAGGGCCGCCTGGAGCTGTTGTTGGTAGGTGGTATCACCCAGACGCTCAATGTTTTGGCCGGCTCTTTCTTTTCCGCATTAAGTGGATAGACATGATGGAGCACATGAGGCGGTGGTCAGTCCAGCAGTCGTCTGCACTGGTCATTGCTCTGGTATTAAGCACATCACGGCGGTCTTTGGTGCAGACAATGACGTAGTCGATGAGTTGCCAGAGTTTAGAGTGAGGATGCATCCAGGATGTTTTGAATGTGTTCACATATAATATACTGTATATTACATTGTATGTATGTATTGTGTTGTCAGGTGTGTGAGACTCAGGTGAGGACCGTCAGTCTGGAGCTGCGGTCCTCTCTACAGGAGGTGGACCTCAGGTTGAACACCCTGAAGGACAGAATGGAACAGCTGGAACACCTGGAACACATCAGTCTGCAGGTACACAAACCGTCTCACCTTAAGGTCCATTTAGTGACACTGAAGGTAAACAAATGGAAATGAGCTGATGAAGATCATGTAACAGGATGAAAGCTCCAGAACATTAAACATATTAACATATATTACATATATATACATATTAAATTAACCTGTGTGTCTGTGTGTGTGTGTGTGTGTGTCTGTGTGTGTGTGTCTGTGTGTGTCTGTGTGTGTGTGTGTGTGTGTGTCTGTTTCTGTGTGTGTGTGTGTGTGTGTGTGTGTGTGTGTGTTTGTCTGTGTGTGTGTCTGTGTGTGTGTGTGTGTGTGTGTGTGTGTGTGTGTGTGTGTGCTCTCTCTGTGTCTGTGTGGTCAGGAGGTGTGTGTCCTCTGGGAGAAGGTGGAGGAGGAGCTGAAGCTGAAGAAGACCAGAATCCTAGATCTGGACCACAAACTGACTGAATGTGAGACTCAACGAACCGACAAGGTCAGAACATAACAGAGTACACAGAGTACACAGAGTACACACTTCAGAGTACACAGAGTACACACTACAGAGTACACACAGAGTACACAGAGTACACACTACAGAGTACACACAGAGTACACACTACAGAGTACACAGAGTACACACTACAGAGTACACAGAGTACACAGAGTACACAGAGTACACACTGCAGAGTACACAGAGTACACACTACAGAGTACACACAGAGTACACAGGTACACACTACAGAGTACACAGAGTACACACTGCAGAGTACACAGGTACACTACAGAGTACACACAGAGTACACAGAGTACACACTGCAGAGTACACAGAGTACACACTGCAGAGTACACAGAGTACACACTGCAGAGTACACACAGAGTACACACTACAGAGTACACAGAGTACACACACAGAGTACACAGAGTACACACTACAGAGTACACAGAGTACACAGAGTACACAGAGTACACACTGCAGAGTACACAGAGTACACACTACAGAGTACACAGAGTACACACTGCAGAGTACACAGAGTACACACTGCAGAGTACACAGAGTACACACTACAGAGTACACACAGAGTACACAGAGTACACACTACAGAGTACACAGAGTACACACTACAGAGTACACTGTGTGTTTTAGGTCCGGGTCGTGTTCAGGAAGTTCTGCCACCTGCTGGAGAAGATCAGCTTCCTGTCTCCAGCTGATATCTGCAGACTGATCGACACTGACGCCACGGTAACTCATTGTGACCTTTAACCTCTGACACGGAGCACCCACACGCTCACTGTGACCTTTAACCTCTGACCCCGAGCATCCACACACTCACAGGTCTCCTCTGTCTGTGTCTCAGATGTTGAATCAGTCTCTCCTGGCGAACCGTCGCAGTGCGGCTCGTCTGGCGCTGCTCCTCCAGGAGGAGAACCTGCAGCAGGAGTCACTCCTCCGTCTGCACTGGGAGGACTGTCTGAGCCGCTGGAGGAGGAGGAGGGTCAACGAGGTCATAGACCGCTTCAGGTGGGTGAGAACCAGGTTATAGACAGGTTCAGACCGGTTATAGACGGGTTATAGACGAGTTCGAACCGGTCATAGACAGGTTCGGACTAATTATAGACGGGTTCGGACTAATTATAGACTGGTTCAGACCGGTCATAGACGGGTTCGGACCGGTCATAGACGGGTTCGGACCGGTCATAGACGGGTTTGGACTGATTATAGACTGGTTCGGACCGGTCATAGATGGGTTCGGACCGGTCATAGATGGGTTATAGACTGGTTATAGACGGGTTCAGACCGGTTATAGATGCGTTCAGACTGATTGTAGACGGGTTATAGACGGGTTCAAACTGGTTATAGACGGGTTCGGACCGGTCATAGACGGGTTCGGACTGATTATAGACAGGTTCAGGTGATACTGTCTCAAGTATTCGATCAGTACTGTTCGTGTTGTAGGGGTCTCTGCAGCGGGGACGAGGACCAGCAGCTGGTCTCGGTCCAGCAGGCGGTTCAGGAGATCAAACAAACTCTACAAGATCTGAGTGAACAACGCCATGACATCATCCACAAGATCTGGTAACAAGACTGTCCTCTGATTGGTTGAGTTAATCTGTCAGTCCACTGAGGCTCCACCCCCCTGCTCGTCGTCTAATCACATCCTGTCTCTCTGTTTCAGCTCTCTGGTCCCGCCCTCCTGCTCCACTGCTCTGGTCTCTGATTGGTTCAACCAGCTGACAGCTGTCAATCAACAGATAGGTAACTATACCTGTGTTTGACTCGTCACGTTTCCCTTTTCCCTTTTTTTAAATTTGTATAGCGCCAATTCATAACAGAAGTTATCTCAGGATACTTTTCAGTGTGTGTGTGTGTGTGTGTGTTTCTGTGTGTGTGTGTGTGTTCAGACATTGTTCATGTGGACTTCCTCCATCAGCTGCGTTGTTGTTATGAACAGACGTGGCAGCGTCGACTGGCTGAGGTAGAGCGCTGTCAGGTAACCACGCCCCCTTCACATCCAGGCTTACATACATTACTACATGTTTACTACATGTTTACTACATGTTTACTAGATGTTAATTACATGTTTACTACATGTTCTCCTGCAGGAGGCGCTCTCAGCTCTGCAGCTGTCAGACGAGGAGGTGAATGACATCATCAGCTCTCAGCTCCTCACTCTGATTGGACGAAGCCAGAGTCGGGATGAAGAGCGATTGGCTGCTTTAGATGTCAGTCACACAACCCTCTCTAAGACTTCTCAATGTCCACCCACACACCTGTCTGACTGTCTCGACCTGTCTGTCTACCTGTCTGTCTGCAGCTGTGCTGTGACTCTGTGGCCCGTCGTGCTCTCAGTCTCAGCAGGTGTGTGTTTGTTGTGATGCGAGGAGCAGCGTTGCTATGGGAGACACACAGTCGCAGCTTAGAGAGGAGAGAAGAAGAACTACAGCAATACCTGGACAACCTCAGAGGCTCACAGCAGCAACACATACAGGTGAGTCTGACACATACAGGTGAGTCTGACACGTACAGGTGAGTCTGACATGTACAGGTGAGTCTGACACGTACAGGTGAGTCTGACACGTACAGGTAGGAGACTCTCCCATAATGCTTTGCTGTTGTGTTGCCAGAGGAAGAAGGTGCGTCTGGACGACCTGCTGGGTGGACTCCGTCAGGAAAGCAGCGAGGACTCTCTGAAGACGTCTCTGGACAAAACTGTCCGCTACCTGCAGGACATCAAACACAGGTACTGCAGGACACACGCTAATGCTAATGCTAATGTCCGCATTGATGGTCCACAGGATCAGCTCCACGCTTTTAAAATTGGTGGCATTTGGAGAGACGGGGTGCCGACGTTAGCCGCTGCTCATTTATTTATTTTTTATTTATTATGTATTTATTTTATTACTTTATTAATCCGAAAACGGGGAAATTCCCTTGTCACAGCAGCATTTAGCTACGGTAAAGTGGTTAAGCTATGGTAAAGTGGTAAAGCTTTGGTAAAGCTATGTAAAGTGGTAAGATTATAAGCCATTAGGCAAAACTTCCTACAGCAGATGTCTATCTGACAGTGCTGTAGCTAAAAGGAGGAGATTCCTTCAGTGTTTAATTCAATGGCATGTCTGAATTTAACAGAGTCCTATAACGACTTTAGTCCCTCTGAAATTGATAATCTTGTCGATAGTGCTACAGGCTCACTACGATCAACATTAGACTCTATCGCTCCTATAAAAAGGAAATTATTAAAACATAGGAGACTAGCACCGTGGTATAACCACCAAACCCGCCAGTTAAAACAAATAGCTAGGAAATCTGAAAGGAAATGGCGCTCTTCCTAATTATCAGAATATCGCTCAATTTGGCAAGATAATCTTAAAACCTATAGAAAGGCCCTCCGTAATGCCAGAGGAGCCTATTACTCAGCACTAATAGAAGAAAATAAGAATAACCCTAGGTTCCTCTTCAGCACTGTAGCCAGGCTGACAGAGAGTCACAGCTCTATTGAGCCACATATCCCCATAAACTTAAGTAGCAATGAATTCATGAGCTTCTTCTATAATAAAATTATTACTATTAGAGAAAAAATTAATCACCAACTGCCATCAACAGTTATCAGTGGCTCTCCAAGTTCAGGGACTTCTGTCAATGTAAACTTAGATATATATTTAGACTGTTTTTCTGCTATCGATCTTCATCAGTTAACTTCAATCATTTCTTCATCGAAGCCATCAACCTGTCTATTAGACCCGATCCCAACTAGGCTGCTTAAAGAAGTTGTTCCCTTAATTGGCACTTCTTTACTGGATATGATTAATCTTTCTTTATTATCAGGATATGTACCACAGTCCTTTAAAGTAGCTGTAATTAAACCCCCTTCTCAAAAGTCCACTCTTGACCAAGGGGTTTTAGCCAACTATAGACCGATTTCTAACCTCCCCTTCCTCTCTAAGATTCTGGAGAAAGTAGTCGCCAAAGAGTTGTGTGACTTTCTACATAACAATAGTTTATTTGAGGAATTTTCAGTCAGGATTTAGAGTTCATCATAGCACAGAGACAGCTCTGGTTAAAGTTAATAATGACCTTCTGATTGCTTCTGACAATGGACTTGTCTCTGTACTTGTATTATTAGATCTTAGTGCTGCATTTGACACCATTGACCATAATATTCTTTTGGGGAGACTTGAGCATCAAATTGGCATTAAAGGAACCGCACTGAGCTGGTTTAAGTCATATTTATCAGATCGCTCGCAGTTTGTACATGTTAACGATGAATCTTGAATAAATACTACAGTTAGTCATGGAGTTCCACAAGGTTCTGTACTTGGACCAATACTATTTACTTTATATATGCTCCCTTTAGGCAACATTATTAGGAATCACTCCATTAACTTTCACTGTTATGCAGATGATACGCAGTTATATCTATCAATCAAGCCCAATGAAATTAATCAATTATCTAAATTACAAACATGTCTTAAGGACATAAAATCCTGGATGAGCTGCAATTTTCTGATGTTAAACTCAGAAAAAAACGAAATTCTTGTTCTTGGCCCCAAAAACCTTAGAGACTCACTGTCTAAAGATATAGTTACTCTAGATGGCATTAACTTGGCCTCTAGCACCACTGTCAGGAATCTTGGAGTTATCTTTGATCAGGATTTGTCATTTAACTCCCACATAAAGCAGACCTCTAGGACTGCCGTCTTTCATTTACGTAATATTACAAAAATTAGACACATCCTATCACAGACAGATGCAGAAAAACTAATCCATGCATTTGTTACTTCAAGGCTGGATTACTGCAACTCTTTATTATCAGGTTGCCCCAATAAGTCCATTAAAACGCTCCAATTAATTCAGAACGCTGCAGCACGAGTACTGACAGGAACTAGAAAAAGAGATCACATCTCTCCTGTACTAGCTTCTCTGCATTGGCTCCCTGTAAAATGTAGAATAGAATTTAAAATCCTCCTCCTCACCTATAAAGCTCTTCATGGTCAGGCCCCCTTCATATCTTAAAGAGCTCATAGTACCCTATTACCCCTCTAGAACACTACGTTCTCTGAACGCTGGGCTACTTGTGGTCCCTATAGTCTCTAAAAAGTAGAACAGGAGCCAGAGCCTTCAGTTACCAAGCTCCTCTCCTGTGGAACCAGCTTCCATTTGTGGTTCGGGGAGGCAGACACCCTCACCACATTCAAGAGTAGGCTTAAGACATTCCTCTTTGATAAAGCTTATAGTTAGGGCTGGATCAGGTGACTCCTGAACCATCCCTTAGTTATGCTGCTATAGGCCTAGACTATCCGGGGATTTCCCATGGTGCACTGAGCTCCTCTCTTCCTCTCTCTTTCTGCACTCATTCATGTCCCATTAATGCATGTTACTAACTTCACTTCTTCCCCGGAGTTCTTGTGCTTTCTCGTCTCACAGGTTCTTGTCGATCCTGGTGGAGCCTCCTGCCATGGTCCTGCTAGATTGCCATTGCCAATACTGTTGTTGCTGTGCACCTGCTGTCTGTCTGTCTCTCGCTCTCTCTCTCTCTCTCTCTCTCTCTCTCTCTCTCTCTCTCTCACCCCAACTGGTCGAGACAGACGACCACCCACCTAGAGCCGGAGGATCTGTCCTAGGTTTCTGCCTTTTAACAGGCAGTGTTTCCTTGCCCTTGTCGCCAAGGTCTTGCTCATGGTGGTACTGTTGGGTCTCTGTAATTAATGTTTTAAAGAGTTCGGTCTAGACCTGCTCTATTTGAAAAGTGTCCTGAGATAACTTCTGTTATGAATTGGCGCTATACAAATAAAATTGAATTGAATTGAATTGAATTGAATTGGTACAGTTATGGTATGGTGGTAAAGCTATGGTAAAGTGGTAAAGCTATGGTAAAGTGGTAAAGCTATGGTAAAGTGGTAAAGCTTTGGTAAAGCTATGGTAAAGTGGTAAAGCTATGGTAAAGATGGTATGGTAAACATATGTTTTATGTTACTTGCATAACATAAAACATATGTTATAGTTTCTGTTTTTAAATACAGAAACTACTTAACATATGTTTTATGTTATAGCTTTACCAGTTTACTATAGCTTTACCCTTTACATAGCTTTACCAGGATGTTATAACTGTACAACAAATTCAATTCAATTCAATTCAATTTTATTTGTATAGCGCCAATTCATAACAGAAGTTATCTCAGGACACTTTTCAAATAGAGCAGGTCTAGACCGAACTCTTTATAACATTATTTACAGAGACCCAACAGTACCACCATGAGCAAGACCTTGGCAATGGGGGCAAGGAAAAACTGCCTGTTAAAAGGCAAAAAACCTAGGTGAGATCCTTCAGCTCTAGGTGGGTGGTCATCTGTCTCGACCAGTTGGGGTGAGAGAGAGAGAGAGAGAGAGACAGACAGACAGACAGACAGACAGACAGGTGCATAGCAACAACCGTATTGGCAATGGCAATCTAGCAGGAAACAAAGAGGAAAGGCTTTTATTGTGAAGGTGTGGAGTTCTCACTTCCTCTGTGTGTGTGTGTGTGTGTGTGTGTGTGTGTGTGTGTGTGTGTGTATTTGTACTGTGTGTGTGTGTGTGTGTGTGTGTGTGTATTTGTACTGTGTGTGTGTGTGTGTGTGTATTATTTGTACTGTGTGTGTGTGTGTGTGTGTGTGTGTGTGTATTATTTGTACTGTGTGTGTGTGTGTGTGTGTGTGTGTGTGTTTATTTGTATGTGTGTGTGTGTGTGTGTGTGTGTATTATTTGTACTGTGTGTGTGTGTGTGTGTGTGTGTGTTTGTGTGTGTATTTGTGCTGTGTGTGTGTGTGTGCAGCTGCAGTGAGTGTGTCTCTGCTCAGTGGCAGCTGTTGGATCGTCTCCCGTCTGTCTCTCTGGAGGAACTCCTGTCTTACAGCCGCAGCCTCAGCTCCTTCTACCACCTCAACCACACCTACAGTCCGGTAACCTTGGCAACCACACCTTAAACACACCTACAGACCGGTAACTGCGGCAACCCCCCAGTTCTTCTCACTTCCATTAAATGCTTGTTAGCTTAGCTTCTTAAGCTGATCAATAACATTATCAATAAGTGGACAGAACGATCAGAGTAGATGAAACATATTGATGATGATCTTCCTCCTCAGACTCCACAAGAACTACAGAACCTCCTCCCATCCAGCAGCCCCACTGAGCCGGGTCAGTACATCCTCACTACAGGTCAGGGTTTGAGAATGAACTGGGTTCTTCTGGTCTGAACTGGTTTGTTTGTTTGTTTGTTTGTTTGTTTGTTTGTTTGTTTGTGTAGAACCCAGTGAAGGGCCTGAAACACAGAAACCAGAAGAGATGACAGAGAATCATCCAATCAGCTGTCAGAATGACACTGACCCCGCCCCTCCGTCTCTGGATTGGCTGACTGAGGTGAAGTTCTGATTAAAATGAAAATATATTTTAAATAACTTTATTATCTTTATCAGTGAATTCAGTTTTATATTTTTATATTTGTAAAGCACAGATCAATAACAGACGTTATCTCAGGTCAGATTCAGACTCCTTATAAAACTCACAGTAACAGTAATGTTAGCTAGTTAGCTCCTGCAGCTAACGTTAGCTGACCACCTCAGTGCTCCCTGTGTGTGTGTGTGTGTGTGTGTGTGTGTGTGTGTGTGTGTGTGTGTAGGCGCGGTCCTCTCTGCTGGATCTCTGTGACATTAGCTGTGATGTCACATTTACATCATCCGGAGGTGTGGCCTATAGTGGCCCTACCTTCAGATGCCCCGCCCACGATCTGCCGGATGACCTGCAGCAGGAAACACACCTTAACCCGTTTCCTGTGGACCTGCTCACACACGCACTCAGCAGGTACACACACACACACACACACACACACACACATACATATCCCCATGGCAACAACAGAGCGCCCTCTAGTGCTGACTCTGTGTGTGTGTGTTGTCCAGGATGCGGACTTTGTTCTTGGACCACCTGGAGCAGCACTTCCATGACCTCCTCAATTCATCTGTTGCCATGGCGACAGACAGGAAGGAGGCGGTGCGTTCAGAGCAGGAGCTCCAACTGCTGCAGCTGAACCCCCAACACATCCAGACCCACATATACCGCCCCCGCCTGGGTAACTCACACCTCTCTCTCTCTCTCTCTCTCTCTCCATCCTAACTGAAGCTACACAATGCTGACAGATGAATTCCTGCAGGGTGTAGCTATGTGGTTACCTTCAGGGCATTTCTATCACACAGCAGCAACACACAACAGAGCTAATGCTATCTGAAGCTAACGTTAGCGCTACACTGAAAACAGTTAGCGGACTGCTGTCGTTACTCAGCTGGTTTCATTCACATAAAACAACATAAATCAGAACGTACAGCTTCAGTTCGAAGTGACAGACAGACGCTAACGTTACGGACCCATCATTCACCGTTACCGGCTCTCGCTGATAACAATTGGTAATTAAAGGCACACTGGTTGTAATGCTGATCTGTGTAAAGCCAGCGCATAACTTGAGCAGCACCAGGCAGGTGTAGACCAAACCTCAGGAAGAGCTCCGGGCCCCATAGTGGCCGAACCGTGTAATTACAGCGGTGGCAAAAAAACACAGATAAAATAAGTGTATTTAGCAGGAAACTAAAGTCTCTGGTGCGACTGTCCGTCCGTCCGTCCGTCTGACTGTCTGTCTGTCTGTCTGTGTTTAGCGGAGTTGCAGCTACACCGACGGCGGGTGGATGTCCACTGTGAGGAGGTGTTGGACGTGTTGACCTCCTGCAGAGTGGAGCTGCAGGAGCTGCAGACCTCCATCAGCAAGAAGAACCAGGACTTCATTGTTATCCTATCCAACATGGAGGACGACGTCCCGACAGCCTACAGCAGCCAACGGTAATAAGTGATCTCTGGTCAGCTCACAGTCTGGACTACTGTAGAGTCTGAAACAGCGTCTCTGTCTCTGCAGTCTGGAGGCTGTGAGCGCCGTCCTGCAGGACTGTCTGGATCAACATATCAAAGAAACCCAGTGCTGCGAGACGGCCTTCAGACAGACAGTTCAGATCAGACTAGAGGAGGTCAGAAACAGAACAACACAGCTCCTCAACTCCTTCAGGTAACAGTTGCAACATCTGGAAGAGTCTTCTAAAGTTAAAAACCTTTACAACCAGCATTGTGTCATTACCGCCACCCAGAGCCCCCCCCCCCCACGCCCAGAGCTCCACCCAGAGCTCCCTCAGAGCTCCACCCACACCCAGAGCTCCACCCAGAGCTCCCTCAGAGCTCCACCCACACCCAGAGCTCCACCCAGAGCTCCCTCAGAGCTCCACCCACACCCAGAGCTCCACCCAGAGCTCCCTCAGAGTTCCACCCACACCCAGAGCTCCACCCAGAGCTCCCTCAGAGCTCCACCCACACCCAGAGCTCCACCCAGAGCTCCCTCAGAGCTCCACCCAGAGCTCCCCCCAGCCCTGGAGCCACAAACACATTCTCACTGTAATGGCACAAAGCTGGTTGAAAAGCCAAAATGTTCTGACTGAGGCTTGCTCAACTGTGATTGCACAGAGTGAAAGGGGGCGGGGCTAAATAATTCTGAGCTGTCTTCATGTTTTCTCCTGCAGGTTGTTTAGTGAAGGAGGTGATTTTGCTCCTCAGGAGGTGAAGTTGTTTCAGAGGAGGCTGAAGGAGGAAACCAAACAGATCAGTGTGACAGAAGAGTCCATCTACACTGAACTGGAGGCATTTGAGTCCAAGAGTTTACAGCAGGTCTGTCTCAGTTTACAGTTAAACCAGATCTGAACATTAAACTGTCCAATAAGACCTTCAACATCCAAAGCTACTCCTCCTCCTCCTCCTCCTCCTCCTCCTGCAGGTGAAGGAGGTCTCTGGTCGCTTTGAGGAGAAACTTTCCTTCCTAAAGTCTGAGGTGAAATTCACAGAGAAGATCCAGAAAGTTATCAGCAGCACCCAGGTTCACATCAAGGCTGAGGTACCTGTCTGTCTGCGTGTGTGTCTGTCTGCCTGTCTGTCTGTGTGTTTGTCTGCCTGTCACTTCATTGAACCTGTCTAACTGCAGGCAGCCAGCAGTAACCAGCAGCAGTCAGCCATCAGCAGCAGGTTGGACGATCTGAGGATGATGATGGACTCAGAGGTACAGACAGTATCAGTCCTTCAGCAGTGTTACTGTAAGCTACAGAGCTTCTGTTCCAACTGTCTCTCTGTCTGTCTGTCTGTCTGTCTGTCTGTCCAGGTGTCTCCAGATCAGGTGTGTTCTGTCCTGTCATCAGTCGGTGAGGAAGTCATGAAGCGCTGTCAGTACTTGGACTTTTCATTAGTAGGTTACTTCCTGTCTACTTAGACTACATCTCATGTATGTGGACTACTTCTTGTCTAGTCTACCTGGACTGCAGCTAATCTACCTGAACTACCCTTCTTCTGCTCAGACTTCCTCTGAGCAGAAACAGACTTCCGGCACAAACAGGTCCTGTTGGACCTGTTTGTGAATACCTCTGGTCTACCTCTGGTCTACCTCTGGTCTACCTCTGGTCTACCTCTGGTCTACCTCTGTCTACCTCTGGTCTATCTCTGGTCTACCTCTGGTCTACCTCTGTCTACATCTGTTCTACCTCTGTTGTACCTCTGTCTACCTCTGGTCTATCTCTGGTCTACCTCTGGTCTACCTCTGTCTACATCTGTTCTACCTCTGTTGTACCTCTGTCTACCTCTGGTCTACCTCTGGTCTACATCTGTTGTATCTCTGTCTACCTCTGTCTACATCTGTTCTACCTCTGTTGTACCTCTGTCTACCTCTGTCTACATCTGTTGTATCTCTGTCTACCTCTGGTCTACCTCTGTCTACATCTGTTCTACCTCTGTTGTACCTTTGTCTACCTCTGGTCTACCTCTGGTCTACATCTGTTGTATCTCTGTCTACCTCTGTCTACCTCTGGTCTACCTCTGTCTACCTCTGTCTACTTCTGGTCTACCTCTAGTCTACCTCTGTCTACCTCTGGTCTATCTCTGGTCTACCTCTGGTCTACCTCTGTCTACATCTGTTCTACCTCTGTTGTACCTCTGTCTACCTCTGGTCTACCTCTGGTCTACCTCTGGTCTACATCTGTTGTATCTCTGTCTACCTCTGTCTACTTCTGGTCTACCTCTAGTCTACCTCTGTCTACCTCTGGTCTACCTCTGTCTACCTCTGTCTACCTCTGGTCTACCTCTGGTTTACCTCTGTCTACCTCTGGTCTATCTCTGGTCTACCTCTGGTCTACCTCTGTCTACATCTGTTCTACCTCTGTTGTACCTCTGTCTACCTCTGGTCTATCTCTGGTCTACCTCTGGTCTACCTCTGTCTACATCTGTTCTACCTCTGTTGTACCTCTGTCTACCTCTGGTCTACCTCTGGTCTACATCTGTTGTATCTCTGTCTACCTCTGTCTACATCTGTTCTACCTCTGTTGTACCTCTGTCTACCTCTGTCTACATCTGTTGTATCTCTGTCTACCTCTGGTCTACCTCTGTCTACATCTGTTCTACCTCTGTTGTACCTTTATCTACCTCTGGTCTACCTCTGGTCTACATCTGTTGTATCTCTGTCTACCTCTGTCTACCTCTGGTCTACCTCTGTCTACCTCTGGTCACATCGCACCTCTGTCTACCTCTGGTCTACCTCTGTCTACCTCTGTCTACTTCTGGTCTACCTCTAGTCTACCTCTGTCTACCTCTTGTCTATCTCTGGTCTACCTCTGGTCTACCTCTGTCTACATCTGTTCTACCTCTGTTGTACCTCTGTCTACCTCTGGTCTACCTCTGGTCTACCTCTGGTCTACATCTGTTGTATCTCTGTCTACCTCTGGTCTACCTCTGGTCTACCTCTGTCTACCTCTGTCTACTTCTGGTCTACCTCTAGTCTACCTCTGTCTACCTCTGGTCTACCTCTGTCTACCTCTGGTCTACCTCTGGTCTACCTCTGTCTACCTCTGGTCTATCTCTGGTCTACCTCTGGTCTACCTCTGTCTACATCTGTTCTACCTCTGTTGTACCTCTGTCTACCTCTGGTCTATCTCTGGTCTACCTCTGGTCTACCTCTGTCTACATCTGTTCTACCTCTGTTGTACCTCTGTCTACCTCTGGTCTATCTCTGGTCTACCTCTGGTCTACCTCTGTCTACATCTGTTCTACCTCTGGTCTACCTCTGTCTACCTCTGGTCTACCTCTGGTCTACATCTGTTGTATCTCTGTCTACCTCTGTCTACATCTGTTCTACCTCTGTTGTACCTCTGTCTACCTCTGTCTACATCTGTTGTATCTCTGTCTACCTCTGGTCTACCTCTGTCTACATCTGTTCTACCTCTGTTGTACCTTTGTCTACCTCTGGTCTACCTCTGGTCTACATCTGTTGTATCTCTGTCTACCTCTGTCTACCTCCTGGTCTACCTCTGTCTACTTCTGGTCTACCTCTAGTCTACCTCTGTCTACCTCTGGTCTATCTCTGGTCTACCTCTGGTCTACCCTCTGTCTACATCTGTTCTACCTCTGTTGTACCTCTGTCTACCTCTGGTCTACCTCTGGTCTACATCTGTTGTATCTCTGTCTACCTCTGTCTACCTCTGGTCTACCTCTGGTCTACCTCTGTCTACCTCTGTCTACTTCTGGTCTACCTCTAGTCTACCTCTGTCTACCTCTGGTCTACTTCTGTCTACATCTGTCTACATCTGTTCTACCTCTGTCTACCTCTGGTCTACATCTGTTCTACCTCTAGTCTACATCTGTTCTACCTCTATCTACATCTGTCTACCTCTGGTCTACCTCTGTCTACCTCTGTCTACCTCTGGTCTACCTCTGGTCTACCTCTGGTCTACATCTTTCTACCTCTGGTCTACGTCTGCCCCACTGCTAACCTCTGTGTTCACTCTACGTCGGGGTGGTTTACAATGTGGATGTTATTTTGGTGTTTAGGACCACAACCTGCAGGAAAACCTCTCAGCTCATCCTAAATCCAGGAAGCAGGTCCGGTCAGCTCCACCTCCTGGTTCACTGCAGGTGACAAGGCCAGGCGTGGACCTCCTTGATGACCCGATTGTGGGTGTCATCAATTCCCTGAACAGGTACGCATAGTCCAACTGATTCCTCTGAGTAACCCTGAAACTCCCAACCTCTGACCTTTGACCCCGAACCTCTGACCTCTGACCTCTGGCCTCTGACTTCTGGCCTGGTGCCACAATGTTGATCTAGAGTGAAATTCTAGTTTGAAAACTGTCCGGATTCTTTCTGCTGTTTCTGTGTTTGATAGGGTGGCCATTTCTTTCACATCAAAAAGGAGGACACTTTGCATACATGGGGACACACAAGCAGATATTTGTTTGGTATGATCCGGTTTTAAATTTTAATGTTTTTCCACCAGATTACATAAAGGTGCATACACATACCACATAGCTAATAATAAATATACAAGATACAGCTCATGACAACGTGCCCTTCCAATTCAGATTACATAGGTCTAATAAACATCATACAGAAACTGTTCTTGATGTTTTTATCTGGATAGATAAAGGGGAAAACAAATACAGCACCTTGAGTATAAGCATTTTCATAATTTCAGTCCAACAACCGACGTTAGCTCACCTTACGTTCTCTGTCGCTGAGAGCTTGATTGACAGCCTGGTGGCAACCTAGCAACTGCGGTGATCATGGCGAATCAACACATGGCTCAAATTGGCTAAAATTAGCCATGTGTTCATAGGTCACAACACGAAAATGTAACCAATGAAATTGCTTATTTTGACACACATTTTAAGCCAATAAGTATTAAACTAACGAGGTAATGTGTCAAAAGGCGACCTTTTTAGTTATTTTCTCAAAAGGAGGACAAATAAGTGTCTGGCTGAAGGCTGCCTACAGCCGGACAGGGCATTTAAAAGCCGGACTGTCCGGCCTAAAGCCGGACGAATGGCCACCCTAGTGTTTGACTTCCTTCCTACGGCTTCATCAGAAACAGAGCAGATGCGATCAGCTGCGGCGGCAGCGGTGGAGCCAGAAGGCGTCGCAGCCGTGCTCGGTGGAATGTGGGGATAATAGTGGAAGTTGTATTTGTGCTACCTAATGATGAAGACAGCTATTTTCTTCCTCTTTGTTCCCTCGGTCCCTCCCTCCAGGTTCTGTACGAGTCAGGATGCTGCAGCAGACGCAGCAGCCAGCGAGGAGCGAGGAAGAACAGCAGCTGGTAAAAACTGTTCACATCAAATATCTGATGATTCAATCAGTGAAATGAAAAAGATCAATCATGGTATCAAATATGTCACTTTGACTTTTACAATGAAGAGTCAATAGTAGATGTTTCATTAGTGTGGTTAACGATCGGCCGCGTGTACGATTGAATCATTGATTACCAGCTCGACTTAAAAACACCAGTTCCAGTCTGTTTGTGTGTCTGCAGGTCAGAGTCCGGTTCACCGTCTGCAACAGAGATTTACTGAGTCTGTCAGTACACTGAGGTACACACACAGAGACAACAACTGACAATCATATTTAGAATAACGTTACTATCTGCAATATTCCTATATTTTATTTGGACCGTTAGCTCCATTCTACTAACATGTGCAATGTGTGTGTGTGTGTGTGTGTGTCTGTGTCTGTGTGTGCAGTGTGAGGAGGGGCTGCAGGTCCATCAGAACTGACAGAAGGTTCCAGATTTTTGGACCCAAACAGGAACCAGATGAGAGCTCACAGTGAGTCCAACCTGCCAGTCCGATTGAGTCCTGAGGTCCAGGTGTGTCCAGCTGCTCACCTGTTGTGTGTTTGTGTTTCAGCTCGTTCAGCTCCATGGTGAACTCTGTGCTGTGGCGAGCCAATGACGTCCTCCTGCTGGTTGCCGAGGTAACAGAGACGCTGTTTATTCAGAGGACTTTAATCAAATATCCGTCTGTCTGTCTGTCTGACTGTCTGACTCTCTGTCTGTCTGTCTGTCTGTCTGTCTGTCTGTCTGTCTGTCTGACTGTCTGTCTGACTGTCTGTCTGTCTGTCTGTCTGTCTATCTGTCTGTCAGGACTTTTACCGGAGCGAACGGGCCGGACTCAGCAGGTTCCTCCTGGTTCCTGACAGTTTGGACCAATGGGCTGAGAGCATGCAGCAGAGGCTGCTGGGATACCAGGAACAGGCCAGGAAGTTTCTGAGCATGAGCAGAGAGGGTATTTATCTGTATCTAATGCACTGTATCTTTATTGTTTATTGATCAGTATACACTGTATCTTTAGTGATTGTTGATCAGTATACACTACTGCTGTCAAACGATTAAAATGTTTAATCGCGATTAATCGCATTAATGTCATAATTAACTCGCAATTAATCGCAATTAATCGCACATTTTTATCTATTCTAAATGTCCCTTGATTTCTTTTTGTCCCATTATTTTAATGCTCTTATCAACATGGAAAAGTGGATCGGCTTGCTTTGTGCAAATGTTTTTATTGAAAACAACATTGGCATATACTGTAGTGTTTAATTTCACACTAACATTCTCACTTGGAGCAAATAATCTCTCACACAATGTAACACTGTCCATCAATAAAAGGGTGAAACAAATACTTTGTCACACAAACAGCCCCTTCAACAGCCCTTTCTAAGGGATCAAAACAGGGCGATACAAAATAAAATTACAAAGTGCACATGTAAGGTAAACTAGGACTCAGCCTATAGTGCAGTTAAACCATGGCTTAATACTTTTCTCAAGTTTGCTTTGAACATAGCAGTTTATTCACCAGAGGCTCAACCCAGCCTCTTATTTCAGAAAGAATGAACAGTAACGGTTACCAGTAAAAGGTAAGCCTACTACTTCTTTGCTTTGAGCCGGTTCTTCAAACATACAAGCCTGTTGACATTTTCAGACAACAAGGAATCCATCCATTTCGGCGCCTCGCGCTCGCCATCCACTCAAAACGTAACGTCTACTACTCTTAAACAAGTGTGTGTTGTTTTGTTTCCGGTCTAGCTAGATCCGGTGTGGTGTTGTAGTTTTTCTAACGTTACTAGTTGTTGCAACAGCATGTGAAAAAAACTACAAAGTGTGCTAGGCCTTAATCTTGCGATAAAAAAATTGACGCCGTTAAAATGGGTTTGCGATAACGCCGTTAATAACACGTTAAACTGACAGCACTAGTATACACTGTATCTTTATTGATTATTGATCAGTATACACTGTAGCATTATTGATTATTGATCAGAATACACTGTATCTTTATGGATGATACTGATCAGTATACACTATCTTTATGGATCCTATTGATCAGAATACACTGTATCTTTATGGATGATATTGATCAGAACACACTATATCTTTATGGATGATATTGATCAGTATACACTGTATTTTTATGATCCTATTGATCAGAATACACTGTATCTTTATGGATGATATTGATCAGTATACACTTTATCTGTATGGATGATATTGATCAGTATACACTGTATCTTTATGGATGATATTGATCCTGTATTGACAGTCAGACTGTGGACATATGACGGCCTTTAGCTCGTGTTTCTAGAGTTACATGTTGTTACGAACACGTTAGGAATTGTTAAAATGTGATATTTCTTAAAAGGAGTTTGGTGCTGGGAGCTTTTAGTTGGATTCAAACTGCTAATATGCATCATTGTCTGTCTGTCTGCCCGTCTCTGTCTGTCTGTCAGAGTTGGGGAAGCAGCTGTCTGTGTTGGAGGAGCTGCTGCGTTCATTACCTGCAGTTCTGATCAGTAACCATGAGCGACGACAGGAGGCGGAGCTGAGAAAGGAGGTGGGCGGAGTCAGACTGAAGCTGGAGGAAGTGCTGGCGGCCAGCGAGGAGGAGAAGGTACCTTCAGAACAGTGACATCACAGTGACATCATTAATGCAGGTCAGTCCGTGCTGATTGTTTCCCCTCTCTGTTTCCTGTTTCCTCTCTCTGTTTCTTGTTTCCTCTCTCTGTTTCCTCTCTCTGTTTCCTGTTTCCTGTTTCCTCTCTCTGTTTTCTCTCTCTGTTTCCTGTTTCCTCTCTCTGTTTCCTGTTTCCTCTGTTTCCTCTCTGTTTCTTGTTTCCTCTCTCTGTTTCCTCTCTGTTTCTTGTTTCCTTTTGCTGTTTCCTGTTTCCTCTCTCTGTTTCCTGTTTCCTCTCTGTTTCTTGTTTCCTCTCTCTGTTTCCTGTTTCCTCTCTGTTTCCTGTTTCCTCTCTGTTTCTTGTTTCCTCTCTGTTTCCTCTCTGTTTCTTGTTTCCTCTCTCTGTTTCCTCTCTGTTTCTTGTTTCCTTTTGCTGTTTCCTGTTTCCTCTCTCTGTTTCCTGTTTCCTCTCTGTTTCCTCTCTGTTTCTTGTTTCCTCTTTCTGTTTCCTGTTTCCTCTCTGTTTCCTCTCTGTTTCTTGTTTCGTCTCTCTGTTTCCTGTTTCCCCCTCTCTGTTTCCTCTCTGTTTCTTGTTTCCTCTCTCTGTTTCCTGTTTCCTCTCTGTTTCCTCTCTGTTTCTTGTTTCCTCTCTGTTTCCTGTTTCCTGTTTCCTCTCTGTTTCCTCTCTGTTTCCTCTCTGTTTCTTGTTTCCTCTCTCTGTTTCCTGTTTCCTCTCTCTGGTTGTCAGTGTGAGAACGTCCGTCAGCTGCGAGTGTCTCTGAGAGACGACGAGCTTCAGACTCTGACCAGCAGAGAGGAGGTCAGACAGCAGCAGCTGCACAGCGCCGTCTGCTGCTCACACCTGGAACTACAGGTAGGAGGGGGAGGAGTCAGTAATGTGATTACAATCAATCTCTACAGGAGAATCAGCAACATGTTCGAATGAAGAAGTTTGGTGTTAGAGGCCGTTCAGACTCACCTGGTGTGTGTGTCTGTGTGTGTGTGTGTGTGTGTCTGTGTGTGTGTGTGTGTCTGTGTGTCTGTGTCTGTGTGTGTGTGTATGTGTGTGTGTCTGTGTGTGTGTGTGTGTGTGTGTGTGTGTGTGTGTGTCTGTCTGTGTCTGTGTCTGTGTGTGTGTGTGTGTGTGTGTGTGTGTCTGTGTGTGTGTGTGTGTGTGTGTCTCTGTGTGTCTGTGTGTGTGTGTGTGTGTGTGTGTGTGTGTCTGTGTCTGTGTGTGTGTGTGTGTCTGTGTGTCTGTGTGTGTGTGTGTGTGTCTGTGTGTCTGTGTGTGTGTGTGTCTGTTTGTGTGTGTGTCTGTGTGTCTTTGTCTGTGTGTCTGTGTGTGTGTGTGTGTGTGTCTGTGTGTGTGTGTGTGTGTCTGTGTGTGTGTGTCTGTATGTGTGTGTGTGTGTCTGTGTGTGTCTGTGTGTGTGTTGTGTGTGTGTGTGTGTGTGTGTGTGTCTGTGTGTGTGTGTGTGTGTGTGTGTGTGTGTGTGTGTGTGTGTGTGTGTGTGTGTGTGTCTGTCTGTGTGTGTGTGTGTGTGTGTGTGTGTGTGTGTGTGTGTGTGTGTGTGTGTGTGTGTGTGTGTGTGTGTGTGTGTGTGTCTGTGTGTCTGTGTCTGTGTCTCCAGGAGTGTGTGCGGGTCAGAGGGGAGGAGTTTGTGACCTCACTGGCGGCTCTGACAGTGAAGCTGCTCCATCAGTTGGACCACCTGCTCACACCTGCAGGTAACATTTGACCTTTAACCTTTAACCACATTATGTTGTCATGGTGATTTACGAGCAGTTTATTTTGTTTTAATCCCTGTTAATTGATTAACTGTTAGTTTATCACTTCAATCTTGTAACTGTACTGCGGTCGTTACAGTCGACCAACCAGAGAACAGTGAGCTCAGATACAGTCAGATTAAAGTCCTCATATACCCGAGTATCACCTGAACACACCACCACCTCACTGTGTTTGTGTTTCCATAGAAACCAAGGCAGCGTTGTCACACCAGCAGCACTCTGAAGACGGTGCTGTTACCATGGAGACGGGAGCTGAGACAGAGAGCAGGTAACAGCTGATGAACAGCGAGTGGTCAACATGTTTTAAAGGCTGTTAATAAACTATATATCCAATTCCTTCACAATAAAAGACCTCCAACTCCTTCACAATAAAAGACCTCCAACTCCTTCACAACAAAAGACCTCCAACTCTTTCACAATAAAAGACCTCCAACTCTTTCACAATAAA